TATCAAACATATAACAACAGCATCTGGCTTAGAAGCATTTTATCTGGAGACAATGTATAAAATGTTAGATATAAATTTTCTTAACAAATTATATGATACAGAATCATCGAATTATATTGGACTATATTCAAGGCTTTTATTTTTCGAATGCAATTCCAAAATACCTTATAAAATCAAAAATTTTGAGCTCACTGTTAACAAAAATAAATTATTGAATCCATTTCAAGTATACGAATTTTTAAGTTATTTACCGTCATTTTTGGAGATCAAAAATGCATCGGTTAAAGATCCTAAAACGGATTTATTTCGATACAGGATAGTATACAATTTTAAATATATAAAGGAAAGCTTAATTACCTCAACAAACAAAAAAACATTATTTGATATTGTCCTTGTTAAAGGAAATTTATTTTCAATTCAATTAAAAAATCTCCCTGAAGGCATGATGATTGACGAAGATTCATATCTTAAAATTCACAAATCAATTTTGCCATTCCCACAAACCAAAAATAAATTTCGTACGAAGTTAATTAAATATAATATAATTGACCGGCCAGAAACAGAAGACGAAAGAGATATTTATGATGAGTTAAAAACCCTTCCAGGACGTATGCGAGTTCATTATTGTGATGATAATGAAACATATCAAATGTTTTGTCAAGGACATAGAGTCGAATGGGTCTCTTGGGTATCACCAATATCTGCGCAATTGCTTATGAATCCGAACTGCAAAATTCAATTGATTGAGGTCGACGCTACCTTCCCAATTGTAGATTATATTTTAATAGTCCCTCAAGTAGTTATTTATAAACAGGGATTCCTATGGGCTTCTATGTTGGTCCATCCGAAAACGCAGAAGCTTACAAACTGTTTTTTGCCTCTTTAGAAAAATCTGGTGTTACAATCGAAAGAATCAGAGAAATTTCATTCCTTGGTGATTTAGGAACTGGAATTAAAAAGTTTGCAAAAGATAAAGAATTAATCATATGGGCTTGTATACGCCATGTGCTAAATCTACTGTCTGAGGGAAGCATGGTGGATGGCATGATCGAGGATACAATCAGAGCCATAAGGCAAGAGGATTATGAAGCGAAGGCTATTCAATATACTCAATTACTCGAAGAATGGCATAATGAAGGTGCGATTTCATCGAATGCCATTCAAAAATATAACAAATTTTGCATTAATAAAAAAGGAAAATTCTGCTTGTGTTTTAGGGAATGCCTTATTGGCCCATCCAATCATGCCGAAAGTTTCCATTTGCAATATCAAAAAACTTAGAAAAATTTTCGGCAGGAAAATTTGATTTCAAGCTGATGATTCATCTCCTTTCAGATTATATAATGCAGAGAGAAAAGGATGTACCGAAAATTGTAAATACAAATGTTAGTCGAGAACTAAGCAACCAAAAGAAATATGCAAAACAGCTCTTGAATGTTCATCCTACATGCGGACAATGGTGCATTGATCAGGAATTGATTCTTAAGAGTAAGTTCGGTGTTAAATTTCCATGCATTCACGAAATTAAGAAAGACACTACTATTTCTCAACATTGCCTCCTTGCATAGGATTATTTGAAATCGAAAGAAATGAAGCACAAAATCAATTTAAAGTATCTAACAAGTCAAATCCTAAAAATTCGAATCAAAATGATCAACAAACACAAATAAAACAAGAGGAATGAATTATGATTTTTCATTGATGATAGTATAGAAACCAGTGCAGCCGATGATATGATGGTTGCTTTAATTGCAAAACTTTATAGGATTTATAATATCCATTATGCAAGATCATTATATCTACAAATTGTTAATAATTTCAAGGGATTTTTAGACGCCGAGGATAAATTACATTTCGTCCTTGAACTTGAAGATGATGAAAATTTTCAGAGCATTTTAGCATCTACAAGAAAAGATTACGAAGCATATAATAATAATAAATCATTAAATTAAAGTATTTGTTTGAAATTATTGTTGGATTTAAAAGATAGACTGAGTGTTGGATGTCAAAGAGAGACTGAGTGTTGGATGTCAAAGAGAGACTGAGTGTTGGATGTCAAAGAGAGACTGAGTGTTGGATGTCAAAGAGAGACTGAGTGTTGGATGTCAAAGAGAGACTGAGTGTTGATGTCAAAGAGAGACTGAGTGTTGGATGTCAAAGAGAGACTGAGTGTTGGATGTCAAAGAGAGACTGAGTGTTGGATGTCAAAGAGAGACTGAGTGTTGGATGTCAAAGAGAGACTGAGTGTTGGATGTCAAAGAGAGACTGAGTGTTGGATGTCAAAGAGAGACTGAGTGTTGGATGTCAAAGAGAGACTGAGTGTTGGATGTCAAAGAGAGACTGAGTGTTGGATGTCAAAGAGAGACTGAGTGTTGGATGTCAAAGAGAGACTGAGTGTTGGATGTCAAAGAGAGACTGAGTGTTGGATGTCAAAGAGAGACTGAGTGTTGGATGTCAAAGAGAGACTGAGTGTTGGATGTCAAAGAGAGACTGAGTGTTGGATGTCAAAGAGAGACTGAGTGTTGGATGTCAAGAGAGACTGAGTGTTGGATGTCAAAGAGAGACTGAGTGTTGGATGTCAAAGAGAGACTGAGTGTTGGATGTCAAAGAGAGACTGAGTGTTGGATGTCAAAGAGAGACTGAGTGTTGGATGTCAAAGAGAGACTGAGTGTTGGATGTCAAAGAGAGACTGAGTGTTGGATGTCAAAGAGAGACTGAGTGTTGGATGTCAAAGAGAGACTGAGTGTTGGATGTCAAAGAGAGACTGAGTGTTGGATGTCAAAGAGAGACTGAGTGTTGGATGTCAAAGAGAGACTGAGTGTTGGATGTCAAAGAGAGACTGAGTGTTGGATGTCAAAGAGAGACTGAGTGTTGGATGTCAAAGAGAGACTGAGTGTTGGATGTCAAAGAGAGACTGAGTGTTGGATGTCAAAGAGAGACTGAGTGTTGGATGTCAAAGAGAGACTGAGTGTTGGATGTCAAAGAGAGACTGAGTGTTGGATGTCAAAGAGAGACTGAGTGTTGGATGTCAAAGAGAGACTGAGTGTTGGATGTCAAAGAGAGACTGAGTGTTGGATGTCAAAGAGAGACTGAGTGTTGGATGTCAAAGAGAGACTGAGTGTTGGATGTCAAAGAGAGACTGAGTGTTGGATGTCAAAGAGAGACTGAGTGTTGGATGTCAAAGAGAGACTGAGTGTTGGATGTCAAAGAGAGACTGAGTGTTGGATGTCAAAGAGAGACTGAGTGTTGGATGTCAAAGAGAGACTGAGTGTTGGATGTCAAAGAGAGACTGAGTGTTGGATGTCAAAGAGAGACTGAGTGTTGGATGTCAAAGAGAGACTGAGTGTTGGATGTCAAAGAGAGACTGAGTGTTGGATGTCAAAGAGAGACTGAGTGTTGGATGTCAAAGAGAGACTGAGTGTTGGATGTCAAAGAGAGACTGAGTGTTGGATGTCAAAGAGAGACTGAGTGTTGGATGTCAAAGAGAGACTGAGTGTTGGATGTCAAAGAGAGACTGAGTGTTGGATGTCAAAGAGAGACTGAGTGTTGGATGTCAAAGAGAGACTGAGTGTTGGATGTCAAAGAGAGACTGAGTGTTGGATGTCAAAGAGAGACTGAGTGTTGGATGTCAAAGAGAGACTGAGTGTTGGATGTCAAAGAGAGACTGAGTGTTGGATGTCAAAGAGAGACTGAGTGTTGGATGTCAAAGAGAGACTGAGTGTTGGATGTCAAAGAGAGACTGAGTGTTGGATGTCAAAGAGAGACTGAGTGTTGGATGTCAAAGAGAGACTGAGTGTTGGATATCCGTCTCTTATTATATAATTATTTCACATATTAATTAATTTATATCCTCGAATAAAATCTTTGATAACTCAATGAATACTTGTCCAAATCTGATTTTCGTTGCCAAATCGCGAAAATATTCATTATTGACAAAGTTATATCTATAATAGTATTGAACTAAAATATGGTTTTGAAAATTTAATATAATAAAATTATTTTGAATTTAAATGTAAAGTTCTGGTAAGGATGAGTAAATGTCGGAGGTAATTATGAGTCAATGACTTAGATAAGAATAAGTCAATGACTGAGGTAAGGATGAGTCAATGACTGAGGTAAGGATGAGTCTATGACTGAGGTAAGGATGAGTCTATGACTGAGGTAAGGATGACTTTTTGTCTGAGGTAAGGATGAGTCTATGACTGAGGTAAGGATGACTTTTTGTCTGAGGTAAGGATGAGTCTATGACTGAGGTAAGGATGACTTTTTGTCTGAGGTAAGGATGAGTCAATGACTGAGGTAAGGATGAGTCAATGACTGAGGTAAGGATAAGTCTATGACTGAGGTAAGGATGAGTCAATGACTGAGGTAAGGATGAGTCTATGACTGAGGTAAGGATGACTTTTTGTCTGAGGTAAGGATGAGTCTATGACTGAGGTAAGGATGAGTCTATGACTGAGGTAAGGATGAGTCAATGACTGAGGTAAGGATGAGTCAATGACTGAGGTAAGGATGAGTCAATGACTGAGGTAAGGATGACTTTTTGTCTGAGGTAAGGATGAGTCAATGACTGAGGTAAGGATGACTTTTTGTCTGAGGTAAGGATGAGTCTATGACTGAGGTAAGGATGAGTCTATGACTGAGGTAAGGATGACTTTTTGTCTGAGGTAAGGATGACTTTTTGTCTGAGGTAAGGATGAGTCTATGACTGAGGTAAGGATGAGTCAATGACTGAGGTAAGGATGAGTCTATGACTGAGGTAAGGATGAGTCAATGACTGAGGTAAGGATGAGTCAATGACTGAGGTAAGGATGACTTTTTGTCTGAGGTAAGGATGAGTCTATGACTGAGGTAAGGATGAGTCTATGACTGAGGTAAGGATGAGTCTATGACTGAGGTAAGGATGAGTCTATGACTGAGGTAAGGATGACTTTTTGTCTGAGGTAAGGATGAGTCAATGACTGAGGTAAGGATGAGTCTATGACTGAGGTAAGGATGAGTCAATGACTGAGGTAAGGATGAGTCAATGACTGAGGTAAGGATGACTTTTTGTCTGAGGTAAGGATGAGTCTATGACTGAGGTAAGGATGACTTTTTGTCTGAGGTAAGGATGAGTCTATGACTGAGGTAAGGATGAGTCTATGACTGAGGTAAGGATGAGTCAATGACTGAGGTAAGGATGAGTTAATGACTGAGGTAAGGATGACTTTTTGTCTGAGGTAAGGATGAGTTGTTGTATGAGGTAAGGATGATTTATTCTCTTCACTACCTATTACTGACGGGTCCATGGTAGTATTCATTTTATTTTTATCGTTTTATTTTCCTTCAATTTCAACTCTAAGCATCAACTATCACACAATAGTTCCTCTACCTTACACCCAACCAATCCCATATTGAATCTTAACTTTTCCTCCTGATATTGATAAAATAAATTTCAATTGTTCGTTTCCAGATCTTGTTAAAGAAAAAAAAATTCACTCCTCTTAGATACAAAGAGAACTACTCTATCTAAATTTTTCAAAAAAAATACATTTTCTTATTTTACATATTAAAAAGTACCAATTTTTATTTCAAAATTTGAAATTTATGATTTTTTTGGAAAACTTTTCGATTTTCTGACACGGTAGATGCTTTTTATTTTATACACTATGCCTAAAATTAACTTTTCAAACTAAAAAAATCCTAATTAGATAATTTTTCAAATATTTAATCAGTTAAATTGAATATTATTAAACTATGTTATTATTTAAATAATTTCCATCTTTTGTAATGCATCAGCACATTACCTGAAAACTTTTTAATCATTCTAGAACAAACCAACATCGTATAATCCCATCATAGCTAATCATCCATTACAATTCTGCCTATTCAAGAGCTCGTGGTGAATTTCCTAAGTTCATTCCCATTCAAAATAAAGATATTCAACAAATTTCTTCCAAAAGAACTTCGTAAACTAACTAACAAGAATAACATCTTCCATTATTTTCAACATAAATACATTTTCAAAGAATAAAATGTTCTTTAATGATTTTTTATTTGGTGAGAAATCTTGCAACATTATTCTTTCATACTCAACTTCAATACAACAACTAACATATGATAGTTGGAAAAAATCACATAATAGAGCAGGTAAGTATTGTGAAGCTGAACTTTTATTTATCTGGTGTGATATGACCAAGCGAGGGACTCAGACTGCTGTATCTGTGGAGCAACATGACAAGGTGATTCAGTTTGCATTGATTGATAGTTCAATATCAGACCAATACTTCTCTTCCATGTTGCGGGCATGGCGAGGCATTTTCAAGATTGGTACCGAAATTGGCTACTATCCCTAAATGCAACAATCATAAATGACACTTTTATCAAAAAACGTGTTTAATTCAAATTTGGCGGGCTTTTGGTCGTAGATTAATTTAACTAATATGAATTTGGATTGTGCTTTCCTTATTGATGTAATGATATTTTCACTAATAAAAAATGAAATATACACAAGAAAAAAATTATTCAAAAATTATCATTGCATTTTATTTGAAGAAATTTTGAAAACACATCATACACATACTATAAATGAATATTATCATCTTAATTTTAATAAATTTCATTTACTTGGAAAAATGCAAGATCATCTTGTACTTACTCTTCGATTTATTCCATGTAACTTCGCAGATAATAATGGCGCACTTACCTCTATTTTGGATTTTTATAGTTTCCCTCAAAACACATTCTATGGACTTACGCTCGTATCGCGTTAAAAAATGTCGTTAAAATTGCCCACACGCCCCTTTACAATTCTGAAATTTTTCCCTTTATTTGTCAGCTTAAGATCGTAATTTTAATGGTTTATCTATGGTAATCATTTTCTGCCTTTCAAATCAAAATTTCATTAATAATATTGATCTGAATTGATTTCTCCAAATATTCAACGATCTCTGTAGTCTTTTCATAGCAGCCATTTATTCAGACGATATACTATAAGCTATTATCATCAAGATAAAGTCAATATATATTATGGACTCCTTGAAAGAATAAAATGATCTTCCAATTTTTTTTTAATTATTATCCTTCTTCATCATCGATATATTCAACATTGTTGCATTATCCAATGTTTCAAATTAATATCCAGTGAAATACAATGAAATTTTCAAACTCATAGATTAGTGATTAGATAATAATTGTGAAAAAAAAATAGAATAAGTTCTACTGATCAGCAACATGTCAAGGAGGTTATATACTTCCACTAAGCATTAACCAACAAAATAAAGTATAGACAACTTTTCTTCTCTTTGTACAAATAAGTATATTCCCAAAAATGTATAAATTAAAATAAAAACGAATGCACTTTAATCTTTTATGAATAAGATAAAATTAATAAAAATAAAACTTAATTCATAGCTTGAAGCTTCTTTTCTGATCTTTCTAAGATGATTCTAGCCTTGATAACTCTTGACTCTAACTCTAATCTCTTCATTAAGTTTGTCTTTGGTAAAACAAGTGCCTTTCCAAGTACTTTTCCGCCTTGTCCAATAACAGTTTGACTTGTTGCCTGAGCTCTTTGCTTCTTTGTCTCCAAAGCTTGTTCAGATGTTCTAGCGATACCTGCGCATGCCTGTCCGAATGTTCCGACTAAGTCAATGAGCTTCTTCGCGTCATTGTTCTTTGTATCAGTATCCTTCATGAACTGTTGTGCAATTTCGGACAATTTGCGCATTGCCTGTGATGTAATTGTTTCTGGTTCATCTACGCCTTCCATGACCTTCTTGATCGATTCGTTCGTCTGGCTCAGTTGTTCAGAGATCTGGTTGACCAAAGGAAGAACGCTATCGATGTTTCTGATTGCGCCGTCGTGATCCTTTGAGAACAACAAGATTGTGAGCAAAGTCTGGGAAATACCCTGTGAAGGCTTGATCATGGAGTTGCATAACTCTGTTGCCAAGCTTGGTGGCATTGAGGAAACAGAATTCTGCAATGCGTCGATCTGTGCCTTGGTTGTTTGCAATGGGTTGATGACTGCTGTGTATTTAGCGACAGTTGCAGCGTACTGGCGTTGTTCTTCCTCTTCCTTCTTGAGAGCGGAACGTGCTGTTGTTGTTGCAATTGCGATCGATGATCTGATTTCTTGTCGGCTCTTCTGCGAGACGATGTCGAATTCACCCTTGAGAAGGAACTTGTCTCTCAAGGAATTGATCAACTGATCGAAGTTGTCGCTGATTATTGATGCGCAGTTCGTCATTGTTCTTTGTGCATCCAAGTTAAGAACAGTTACTGAAGCAGCCAACAATGATTGTGTTACTTCTTTAACAGCATCATAAACTGGCTTGATTGCTTCGACTAAAACTAAATTCTTAACGTGAGAATCTTGCAAAGTCTTGTAGAACTTGTTTTCTGCATCGGAATACTTCTGAACACTTTGTTCAAACTTAGGAATTGCCTGTGCAGAAGTCATTCCTGTTGTATCTGGAATTGGAGGTAACTGGAATCCCTTTGGAAGCTTCTCCGCGTTCTCCATATCTGGAACTCTGATGTCTCTGTCTGTCAATCTATCCAACTGAACAATTGTGTGGTTCATGTTCTCGAAGATGTTGATCAGTTGTGTAGTGACTTTTTCGAGTGGAGGAGCCTTTGTAACATTGATGACCTTGTTGAACTCGTTGAAAACAGAGAACAACTGCTCGAATTCCTTCGAGAAGTCGTTTCCTGCTGTTGGATCAGTGTTGACTTGGACCAAACTAGCATAAGCATCATGTAACTGTATTGTTGCTGATTCGAGTCTTGGCTTCTCTATGCTCATGATTGAAGCGAATGACTCAGGAATCTTTGATGTAGCGCTTGCAGAAACAGTTGTAATGATGTTTCTTGTAGAGTTTGCGAGACTCTTGATGAAGTCCAATCTGACTTGTTCGAGTTTAGTTGTTGGAGCTTGTGGCTTGGAAATATCTTGTTCGTCGATCATGTCTTCAAGAGAAGCGATCATTCTGTTGAATGATCTTGTTGCTCTCTTGATTTGTGTGCTTGAAACAGATGATGACTTTCCGATTTCGATGATGGAATGGAGAGCACCCATTGAGCTGTTAATCATGTGGATGTAGTCAGTGTAGACTGGTGCTGAGTTGCAGTTGGCGAGTTCTATTCCTCTGAACATCGCTGCCTGTGAATCTGCAACAGACTTGATGATTTCGGAGATGAGATCTTGCTCGCGGACATTGTCTCTTGAGTTGACAGCGGAAATAAGATTGATTGTGGACTGGTCAAGGTTCTTTCTCGCGTCAGTGAAGATTTGCTCAATCATGACTGGATTCTGCAATCCGTCGATAACTTGGAATGGATTTGGTGTCTGGCTCTGGATCAAATCAATTGTCTTCTTCTCGGAATCTTTAAGTGCTGGCAAAATGTTCTTGTCTGCACCAACTCCTGAGATGTAGTAACTGTTGATTGCATCTTCGATCTGGGAAATGTTAACAAGCTGTGCATCGATGATTGGATCTTCTTTCTTCATTGCAATTGCAGCTGTCTTCAAAGCCTTGAATTCGATGATTTCTGCGTGTAACTTTGAGATGTCGTTTGCTTTGAGTGCTGCAACAATCTTTGCGCAGTTTGTGACTGGCTTGAACTCGAAGTTGACATTCTGTGGCTGTACTAAAGCAGCAGCCAAGTTCTTTGAGATCTGCATTAAGTAAGAACACATCTGTCTGTATCTGCCGAGTTTATGTGGATCATTCAAGTCGTAAGCATTCATCTGGATCTCGTTAACTGTCTGCAAAATGATTGTTGGATCTGGGATGATGACGGATTTAACTGCAGGATCAGAGATTGATGAAGAAACTCTGGAAAGAGATGCAACTAATTGTGGTGTCAAGTCTGCCAATTGTTGTACTAAGATATCTCTGTCCATCTGTGAAATTGGAGTCATTAATTTGTTCAAGATATTGATTGCTTCGACATTTGATGAACTGAAGATATTCGAGCACTCTGAAATTGGCAATGTAGAGAACTGAGCCAACAAAGGCAACAATCCTGCAGCTGTTTGTGCAGCATTGGCTGTAGCCATGAGTTCTGTCTTTGGCTTGTTCGTGAGGATGGAAGAGATTGAGACAGGAACAGTTGTTGTGTTGTACATGTCAGCAAACAATGAATTGAAGTCATTTAAGTTGGAGAATGCTGTAACAACAGTTTGTTCTGGTTTGACAATGGAAACCAAGTTGTTGATAACGCATAATCTGTTCAACTGATCTTGGTCGTTTCCTGCAGCCAAAGGAACAATTCTTGATGCTGTTGCCTGTGTGGAAACTAATGATTTGACTTCGCACTGGAGTTGAACTAATTGTTCAGGACTGATGTTGATCTTCATTGATCCTTGTTGTCTTCCTTGTTCGACCATCTTCGCTAACTGTTCGTTCTTTGTTAACAACTCTTTCTGCAATGAAATTAACTTCGATGTGATGAATGCTCTGTTCTGAGCTTCCTTTGCAGTGGCGCAAACTTTCTCCAAAACATAGGAATTCTGCAATGGCATCTGTGCAATGATGTCCATGTTCTGTTGGAGAATTTGTTGCTGGTACTGGATGAGCTTCATTGCAATTGTTGCGGCTGAAACTTGGTTAGTTTGATCGATGATCTTTGGATCATTCAAATCATTTGGAATGAAATTGATGTCATTTGTGCAAGCGTTCAAGTATTCCGGTGTCTGGAATAATTGAGCTAAATTAGCTAGCATTGACTCAATTCCTGCTTTGTCTGTTTCTGGTGTCTGTGCAATTGTATCAACAACTTGTTGTTCTTGCTGAGAAATTGTGTAAATTTGCTGATACATTGTCTGTTGGAGACCAGAGATCTTCTCCAAGGTAAATACAGATCTTTGCTCAGCTAATAATTGATGGATCTGTTGTGGTGGTTTGACCAATGATTTGGCGTATTCGAATGAAAGCTTGGACAAGTTCGTTGACAATGTTGTAATTGCCAAATCCTTGTATGTCTTGAGTAATTCATCGTTGATTGCGGCGACTTCAGGAAGTACTTCTGCAATTGGGTGCTGTGCAATTCCTTTATGAGGTTCTGCTTGAATCAACAATGATCTGTCAAAGATTCTGGCTTCGGCGCCTTTGGCTTTGACCTTTTGTGCAACTGAATCTAAGTTACTCAATCTCAAGAGATTTGCAATAACAACTGAATATGATTGTACCAACTTCTCATCACTCAATGACTTGATGCGCTGGTCTAGTTCTTCATTCGACTGGTTGGCTAAGTCGTTGAGAACTAAGAGGTTGTTTCTGAGTTCGTTTGCCTCATTAACACCAAATTTAGAGTCATTGAAAACTTCCTGGAGTTTCTCGGATTTAATCTGTTGGTCAATTGATTGAGAATTGGATCTGATCTGAGACAAAATTCTCTCCATGTTGTTTGCTGTGATGCATGAATTCAAAACTTGGATATGCTTTGTGAATTCATCGTAATTAGTTTCATCATCAATTGGATTGACATCAGCTAATTGTTCTGGAGAATTGTACAAGATATCATTGACTTTGTTTGTGACTCTTTCAATGATACCACGTGCTGATTCTTGGAATGAAACTGTTGGAATGTTGTTGAGTTCTTGTCTTGGTAATGTTGTCAATGCACCAGCAAGGAATGCGATGTAACTCTGCTGTGAATCGATGTCTTCTGTCTTCATTTGTGCAATGACTTCTGCGAATTGTTGTGGAGAGTTGCAGTACTCGATTTGTGTCTTCAAAACTGGGCAAAGCTGTTCCAAGAACTGTCCAACAATTGGCTGTGCGACATCGATCTTTTCTATCTTTGCATGCAAGCCAGGTGTTGCAGCATCGTGAGCGTTTTGGACTGTCATCAGTGCTTGTGCGAGCTGGACTCTTTCCATCAAATCATTAATGAATTCCTGTGATTTGTGGAGAGATGCGATATCAATCAAAGAAGTGTTGTTTTCTTCACCACTTTCCTTGAGATTGTTCTGAACTTTGATGTTTGCTGCCTTGAGGATTTCGATTGGAGTTGTTCCGACATTGCTGTCATTGATGATGTCATAGACTTCATCGGATGTCAACATGTTGATTGTTTGTGTGATTAATCTCTGTTGGTTAATCATCTGTGCTGGAGTGAATGTTCTTGTGTAAGCAGCCAAGTTCTCCTGGCTGTCTGACAAAGCAATTTGTCTCAGGATTTGTTGCTGTGCTTCGATGATTTGGCCTGCATCTAATGGAGAACGGAAGAGTTGTTGTCCTTCTGGAGTATTGACGAAACGGCAAAGTTCTGGTGTTTGCGAGATCATGTGCTGAGAAACAGCTTGAAGAGATTCAAGGAGATTGACTAATGACAAATCTTTCATCATTGCGGAATTGATATCTGAAACTGTTCTGATCTTTAATTCTGATGGAGATGTTGCTTGTTTATGAGCTGTTGCTTCAAGCAAACTGAGTTTAGTTGCAGATAATCCCTGATCTGATGTAACAATCTGTGCATCAATTGTTTCATTTGTTAATCCTTCGATTGCAAACTTAAGAACATGCTGTTGTGCTAATACTTGTGATGGTGTCAAACGAGACAATGCTTCTTCAATTGCTTGTGAATTGTCAACCTTTGATAATAGATCTTGGATTGACATAATAGAATCAGTGATTTGATCTGGAGTAAATGCAGAATATGACTTGTTGGACAATTGTTTGACGACATCTGGGAATTCTGATAATTCCTTCTGTCTCAAAGCTTCCAATCTCTGTTGTATCATCAACTGTGTGTTGGATGATGACAACTTCGGCTGCTGGAGAATTGGAACTGCTGCTGCATAAACAGGTCCGTATTGTACAGACTGAATAACTGCAGGAGCAATGATGTGTGGATCCAAAGAAGTGATAGAAAGTGTTGGATTCAATGAAACAGACAAACTTGATGCGGAAAGAGCAGCTTGTGTTGCTTGTTTCTTAACGAAATCTTTGACGTTTGTCGAGGCTTGGTAATTGTTTGCTCTTGCAGCCTTGAGAGTCTTCATCTTCTCCTTGAGTCCTTGCATCAATTGATTGGATTGAAGAGCTAAGTTGTAGCAGGACTGGTCAGTAATTGATGAAAGATAAAGTTCTGTGTTGACATCCTTGATTTGAATGTTTGCATCTTGTGAATTGAAGTCGATTTCCTGTTGTTTAGTGATCATTTCAACTAAATCACATAACAAAATAGAGAGTTCTGTTAAATCTGATGCTGTTGTCTGTGTCATTCCAGCATGTGATTTAGCAGTGATTTCTTCAATCTTGCTTGTAACTTTAGTGATCTTTTCTTTGGATACTGGATCACTGTATCCAAATTGTTCTGCAATGGAATTCGTCATTTCGACTTCTTGTATCAAATCACATGTTGAAGCAAGAAGTGTTGCAGCTTGTTCTGGGTTCTGTTGTGCTTCTTGTTTCACGTGTTCAAATGTCTTTGAAGCGAGAATCAAAGAAGCCAAAAGATGGTTCAAAGTATCAGCTTTGTCGTTGAAAGTCAATGGATTTGCGTATAATTCAATCAAATTCTTGAATGGATCGAGTTTCTCAACTGATTCTCTTACATCCTTCTCTTCTTGCTTCTTCTTGTAGTTAATGTGATTATAAACATTGGCCAAGAAGTGCTGGTAGATCCTGCAAACCTGAGCCAAATCTCTGCGGCCAACATTTGTTTGTCTGTTTACATTCTTCAAATATGGAGTTACTTGGTGTAAGAAGTCCATAACTTGTGGAGTAGTAAGCTGTGGATGATCAATATTGATTCTATCCAATGTGTAAGCGATTCTCTCCAAGTTATTCAAGAGAATTGAAGCGAAGGAATTGTCTACTTCATGTAATGTGTTGTTGAAGAAAACTAATGATTCTTCCAATGGCTGGACGATGCCTTTGACAATTTCATTGTCTTTGAGGGCTTGGATGAGTAAAGCGATGTCTGATCTGTTGTTGTGGAGCTGTTCGATGTTGAGAATTGCTGCTGGTAATGTTCTGCACTCAACTAACAATTTGGCATCGGAATCCTTAAGAGAAGACAAAGCTTTGGTTTCGTAGTATTGTACTTCAGGACCAAACTTCCTTGCGTTGTCTCTGATTTGGTCTTGTAAGTACTTCATTGCCTTGTTCATCTTAAGTAATGTTTGTGCAGCGGAAACAGTTGCAGAAACAGCGATTTGTGTCTGTGTTTCTGTCTTGTTTTCGTAGCTGTTGTCAACATTTGTAATCAATCTGCATGAAGGAATAATTGCTGTATTATTCTTTCTTGCCATCAATGGAATGAGATCTTTGATAGCCAATCTGATTGATTGTGGAACGTTGTTCTGGTGATCATTGATAACTTTAAGGGATTCAGTGATGTTCTGGTATAATTCGCTGTCAATTTCATTGATGTCATTTGTCAAATTGGTATCGAGATGTTCGACTAATGACTTCAATGCTTGTTTGGAAATCAACTGGTCTTTGATTATCAATGATTCTGTCTTAGCCTTTCTCTGTGCTGGTAAAGCAGTGTATGTTTCTGTGGTGTAACCAAGAGATTGCAATGAATCTTCGAGCTCTGAGATGTTGTTTATCTCGTAAATCTGTGGTAAAACTGCACAGATTGAGCCGTAGATGTCGTCGCAAGCCTGTTGTACGCGGCGTGGTTTGAGTGTTGGTAATTCTCTGAGTTGTTGTTGAACCATGTTTTGGATGATTCTGATCGAACTTGAAAGGAGCAAATTCGACTGAATTGCTGGATTGGATTGTACTTTTGTGATTGCAGCATCGACTTGTTGAAGTTGTGGCATGACTTGGGAGATGAATTCCTGTGATTTCGCGTTGTTCATGTGTGGAACAGAAATCATCTTGTAGATGGAATTCGAGAAGTCATTGAAGCCCTTGAAAGCAACAGTCAATGCATCGGAATCAGCTAATGGCTGAAGAAGTTCGCAGGCAGAGATAATTCCTGGTGTTGCGTTGTGAATTGACACCAATTTCTCTGATAATTGTTTTTCGCCAATTCTTTTGAGATTGTCGTAATCAATGTACTCGAAACTCTTTCTCATCTGGTTCAAGAGGTTGAGAGAATTGGCTGATTCTTGGATCTGTGGAAGATTTGCGAACTGATCCAAGATAAGGCGAATTCTTGAAGCGTAATCTTGTAACAATGGAACGCAATCATCGATTTCTGTGTCTTCTGTGATTCTTGGAAGTTTCGTCTTGTTGAGTTCGATCTTCTTTGAACGTGGTAAGTTACGGATCAAAGCAATTGATGCTAAAGCACTCGTGTTGAATGCACTCATTGATGCTCCTAATTCTTCTGATTGTTCCTTAGTCAAAACTTGTTTAACTTTAAGTGGAATGACAACCAACTTTCTCTGAGCAACCAACAAACCTGCTTTATCACTCATTGCCAATGATTTGTTGTATGTTGATTCGACAGCGTGAACATTGAGTTTGTCAGCAGCATTTGTGAGTGATTTAGACCAGTCTTCCAAGATCTCAATGATTGCCTTGTTCTCCTTGACATTGTCAGCCTTCTTCAACTTCTTAATGAGGTGGTTCAACGACTTGATCTTTGGAGATGTATCCTTGAGTTGCTTCTTGATGTCATCGAATGTAACAACAACTTCTGATTGTGATTGAACATCAACTTCAGGCTGCATCTGCTCCAACAAGGCGACAATTGATGGGATTGATTTGTCAGAGTTTGGAGTGTTTGCATATGTTGGCAATTGCATTGCAACTTTGTGCAAATTGTTGGATCTAGCCTTGATATCTTTGACGATCTCGTACAAATCAGGTGTTGGATTGTTCATCATCTGCTGGACTTGCTGGTACTGCTGGTAGAATGTGTTGTAGTAATTTGATGCAGCGTTGTATAAATCTGGATTAGAAACAACTTCAGGTAATCCTGCGTAATATGTTGTAACGTGGATGATGTTTGTCAACGCATCAATAACCTTCTGGACATCTTCCGGAGTAACTTTGCTGAGTAATTCTGGTTTGGATTGTGATTTCATGGATAACTCTGGAAGTTTGTCAACTTGTGCATTATTTAATGCGTGTAAAACATTGGAATAACTTGAAATTGTTTCATCAGTTAACTGATCAACTTTAACATTTTGTGCAACATCAGCAACTCTGTGTGCCAAGACTTGGATTTCCTTCATTGTTGCCAAGTTCCTTACGATTGCATCTCTGCAAGCATCTTGAGCGCTCTTTGAATATGGATTTTGAACAATGTCATTTCTGACATCATTTATGTCCAAATATGTCTTTTGTGACATTTCAATTGACTTTGCGCAACGGAATGACAATTCTGGATCTTCACAAACGGCTGGTAACTTCGAGATCGCTGTTAATTCATTGATCAAATTAGCAACAGCGTAATTTGATTCCTGAGTCTTGAGAACGTAATCGCAAAGTGCCAAGTTCTCACCTTCAGCGATTGGATCATTGATTGCCTTGTAGATGTTGAGATCTAATCTCTCCATAATCACAGGGATGTTTGCATCTCTTGTGATGCCTGCAACTCTTGAGATGGATGAGTTAATTTCTGGGAGCTCGGCCTTCAACTGCAAAATCAATGATTGTGCCTTAGAAACAGCGTTTTGATCAACAGTGTTTGCCATGAGAGCGCTCTGTTGCTGGGCCAAGTTGTACTGGTAGTCCTTGAGTTTGTTGATGATTTCCATGTTGTTTTCTCCAATCTGATCGATTGTTTGGCGGTTCAATCTGCCAACGAAGTTCAACAAATAGTTGATATCATCATTAACTTTGGCAACAGAGATAGGAGTGATATTTCTTGTTGAAATATAATCCAATTGATTGGCAACTAATTTCTGGATGTCCATGAGTTTCATCAAGACTGGTTGATGCTCTCCACCGAATGGTAACTTCTGCAATTGTATCAAAGCATCTTTAATTGCTTCGTTTGTTCTGTGGAGATGAGCAATTGATTCTAATCTCGCTGCTTCGCTTGTTGGCATGTTGTTCAACTGTGATAGAACTTTCTTCAGTTCATCAATAGCATCGTAAGCGGATTTAACCATTGCCTTTGCATCGTCTGTAAGAGAATTGATCTTGTTGTTAGGAAGATCATCTAACTGCCTGATCAAGTCTGGGATATTTGCATCGTTACCCATAACAATGAGTGTATCTCTCTTCTGGATTTCTGATGATTGCTGTGTCTGTTCTTTGATCATTGCGTGTGTTGCAGCCAGCAATTGCTTGAACTTGCTGTGTGCTTCACCGAGATCTTCGATTGAAACACCATCTTGTTTGAGTGTATCCAAAATGGCACCGACTTCAGCAAGTTCTGCAGAAGCAGTCTGGAACTGTGGAACCAAGTGAGGAGTGATCATTGTGACATTCTTCTGTTCAGCCAATGTTGAAGCTAATCTTGTTAATGTCGATGATGTATTCCTCAACTTCGCCTGGATCTCGAATGTATCGATGTTATGTGCTTTGAGATGAGCAGCGTGTTTGAGCAATGTATCAGCGATGAGTTCTTGTTCATCTGATATTCCAATGAGACCTTTGGAGATCTCTGGCATTTCTCTCTTGATGAGATTTGGCGTCTGGTTGATCTGATCTTTGATAGTGACTTTGAAGTTCTCGAAAACGAAATCAGAAGTTGATCTAGCGACAGGAATTGCCTGCAAAGCAGTGACTAACTGTGCATGGATCTGTTCTGCGAATGGGCTGAGTTCTTGGTCGTTTTGGAGGATGCTCTGTGTTGTATCGCAAAGAGCATCGATGTTGGATCTGATGTTCAAGAACCTGTCACGTAAATCATCGTTGTCGCATTCCTGGACGAATGTGTTGATTGCATCGTTGAGAGTTGCAAATTGCTGGAAGAGCTGGTTTGGATTGAGATTCTCGATTTCTTCTGTTGGAATATCGAGTTGAACTTGCAACATGTCGAGCAATCTTCCTGTTCTCTGGTGTTGCAAACCATCTGTGTTCGCACGCCATTCAAGATCCTCATCAACGATATCTGTTGTTGCATCTGCGAAATTAACTTCTTGTTCATTAATTTCTTTCTTCTCGAAGGAGATTCCCATGTCATCAATGACGACATCGTCATCATCGCGATGGAATAATGTGTCATTTACGCCAAGATCCAAATCCAAAGATGTGATCTGATCGAAATCGTGCTGGAAGTAATCGATATCGAAATCTTCTTCAACAACAACTTCTCTCTTGAAGTTGAGACCTTGGTTGTAATCAATGATTGTACCGATGTTTGGCATATCAAAGATTTCAAGCAAGTTGGAAATGTATGATGCAATAACTGCAATATCCTTTGAATGGACTTCAACGGAATAAGAGTTTCCTTGGAAATCACTGTACTGGAAGACAATGACCATTTGATCATTGACAGCGAGAATGTCACTGCATACTGAATTATTTGTACTATCAATTACTAACCAATCAGCCAAGAATGGATAGAAGATTTCACCAACAATGAATGCTTGGTTATTGATGAGCAAAATAGAACGTGGTGATAATGAAATACGGCCAGGCTGGAATTCGATTGTATCTCCTTCCATGTTATCATCTCTGAACAAGAAATCGATATCATAAACTTCTTCACCGTAGCCAGGCATCATCATGATTGAATTGATGTATGTTCTTGCAGCCTTAGACTTTTCAAGAGGTGGTTGAACTGTCAATGCCTTTGAGAACTTCTGAGCAAGGTTGTTCTCGACAACAATGGCTTGTGGGAAGAGCAACTGGATCTGTTCTGGCTTGGCATTGACCATCTTTTCGAGAACTTTAGCTTGATCACTTGCTTCAGCGTAAAGAGACAAAATGGCCAATTCAATTGCTTTCTCAACATTCAAGACGAGTTTTCCTGAAAGGACGAAGTTCTTTGAATCCTTGTAAATGGAGAACAAAGAAAGGTTATCATCGAACATCTCTTGTGTGAAGACGAAGAATCTTCTACGCAATGTGAGGTTGCTGTAATATCTCGTCTGAATTGGAAGAGAGAATGAGAAATTGAGTGGATGTAATTTGTTGTCTTCTGTTGTGTTGTAGAATGTGAAGCCAAGATGTGATCCTTGCTTGAAGTACTCGTTTGTAATTTGTGTCTGTTCGATAATGTTCTGTGTGATATCGAGATCGAATTTGTGAACTAATCCATGTTCATTTGCTACTGTGATTTGTGGAATCTTCTGCAACAAAAGGATGAGATCTTGTGGATCAGGACTGAACTCTTGGAGTTTCTGATATGGTTTGAACCAGCTGAACTCCATGTTCTTGTCTCTGTAAAGCAAACACCACTTGTCATTTTCAATTGGCAAAACATAGTAGAAAAGTGACAAATCAATAATTTTGGAGCCTGTGAAGTTTCTTCCGAACTTGAATTGTGGTGGATTTGGATGGTCCAAACGACGAGTAACGGCGATCTTGATTGGGAAGTCGATCATTCCTGTGATCTTCTTCTTCAAATCTTCGTTTGCGGACTGGAGTCTCTCACGTTGCTTGATGAATGGATTGATGATTTCGATGTATTGTCTCATGACCGAATAGAACGCTGGAGCTTTGTCTGATGTAAGATAGAAGCTTCTAATGCATCCATTTGGCTGAGAAACACGGATTGTGACGTGATCGACCATCAAGAAGTAATCGTGGATGAATGGATAACCGACCTTTTCATTCATCTTGACCGTTTCTTCTGTTCCATCTGGCTTAGTTTTTATGTACTTACCTGAGAAGAAAGCACCATTTGGACCGATCGCAACTTTGATGTCTGCTGGAGTTTTGATCTTTGTATCATCGGAGAGTTGGACATTGAAGATTTCTGAGCCGAAGTTCGGGCAGTTCTTTGCAACTTGGATGTATTTCTTGACAGCAACAATTGGCTTCAATGGGTCGTTTGTCTTAATATATTTCTTAATGTTCTCCATGTTGATTTTCTCGGAGTTAGTTCTCTTCGGGAATAGAGAATTCTGATCAGGAATCTTAATCTTCTGTGGATCTTTCTCTTGTGTTTCTGCATAGATCATGTAGATAGCGAGTTCCTGTGGCTTTGTATCGTTCAATGTTGGAATACCACTCATGATATTCGCCTTGACATCTGGATACAATGATCTGACAACGAAGTCTTGTTGTCTGTCTTCTCTTGTCCATGAGAAGAATCTTCTCTTGAACAAGAAATCATGAGCTTCACCAACTTGTTCTGGAATGGAGTAGAAGAGATCCAATGGAAGCGGTGGTTTGTTTGGACGCTCGATGAAGAGTGTGTAGCCGATGTAGTAATCGACAAACAATCTATCAGCGATGTCTTGAATCAAATCCTTCAATGGCTTCGTGATGTTGATTGTTACTGTGCGAGATGCCTCTCCTTCGAGGTGAACATTGATGTTTACCAATGTCGGGAAGATCTGAAGGAGCATGTAATCGCATGGGAATAATGATTCGAGGACTTGGTCTGGTGCAATCCATCTGTATTCATCATCTGTGAGCTTAAGTAATGGTGAATATTCGATGTCTTCTTCGAGTTTGATGAATTTGCCTGCTCTCTTTAACAAGTTTGCGCCATTTGCTCTCATATCGTATAACTGGATTGGATCTGATTCTTTGACTTTCCAGCCAAAAGATGTTCTCAAAACAACACGTTCCTTTGACATGAGAGGATCGGAGTTTGGATCGTAATCCTTGCATCTTTCGAGCAACAACTTGTTGATCATATCGATGTGCTTCGTGATGAATGATGCAATGATTGATGGATCACTTGCTCTGACAAGGATGTGCTGTGTACTAGTTTCTTTGTCGGATGAATACTTAATCAACAATTCAGTGTCAGTATACTCTGTCTTGATGTAATGTTTGTATTCAGCTTGTGCGAGTTGTTCATTGAGAGTCTTGTGGACAACGAATGTTCTTGAAGGACCAACCATGATTGTTGATGGAATTTCAGCAACACCTTTTTCATCACGCTGGATGTAAGTGCAGTTATGTCTTGTAACACCGAATGTTGGCATGGCTCTGACGATGTTGATGTACTTGATCTTTCCTTCTGTTGTTGATAACTGCTTGTTCTTGTTGACGTAATCAATAATATCATTGCGATTTCTCCTGTGGAAAGACATTCCTTCTGGTAACAATGGTGCAATGTTATCAGGAACACTCTTCGAAGTTGGTTTCTCAACTTCAGCTGTGATACTCATGGCGGCGAGTTCAACAGCTTGTTTGAGTTGCATGTCAACCTTTGCTTCGAGAACTAACTGCTTGACATCATAGTAGAGCTGAAGCAAAGCATCTGGATCTTCGAATTCAGCTTTGTTAATGATGAAGAAGAAGCGGCGGAAGTGTAAATCGCAGATTCTGTTGATTTGTTCTGTGATTGTCTTCCAGTTGTCCAATGTTCTGAGCTTCTTCTTGCCCTGTTTGAACAAAGCGTAGCCAGAGTAGTACTTGAATTTCAACTTTTCTGCAATCAATGGGATGAGTTCTTCGACAGTCTTTGTTGTGACAATTTCGATTGTCTTTCCTCTCTGATCTGATGTGATGAATTTGATCCTCAACTTTGCAGGATGGAGGTAAATAATGCCATCACGATATGGATGAACATCAGAAAGAACCATGTGAGGAAGTAACCATTTGTTAATACCTTTGAAGATCTGTATTAATGTTGCATATTCTTGGTTATGGTCAGTAGCAGTGATTGCAAGAGCTGACTCCAAAACTTGTGGCTGTGGTGTTTCAAGATCGAACCACAAAGCATCTTTAAGTTGTGATTCACCCCAAACACCAACTCTGAGATCGATCATCGGGCCATGGACTCTTCCTTGTTCATCTTTCCAGCCACCGTTGACTTTAAGCAATGTTTCGTGGCTGCGTTCAGCTTCTCTTTCCTTGTTGAGAATCTGCAAATCGTGGTTCAAGTTGATGTTGTATGTCAACAACATATTGATTGTTTCGGAATCTCTGATCTTGAAGAAACCTGTGATTGTATACTTGTGGTACTGGAAAATCAACTTGAAATTGCTCAATGATGATGAATACTGCTTGATGGCACGATATGGAATTCTTTCATAAACTAAGCTTCCTTTTGAATCAAGAATTGTGCATCCGAATGGACCAATTGCAATTGATCCTTTCTTGATGCTTGCTCCTTTTCCGTAGTCATCCTTGTACGATGAGAATTTGTGTTTCTCGACACCGAAATCTGGGAAACCTCTGCAAATACCGATGTATTTCTTTGCTGCGGAAAGTTGTGTCATTGCTCTTGATTCCTTCAAAGCTTCGGCGAATTGGTTCTGGATATTGGCTGGAACGTTGTTTCCTGGTGGCAAAATATCAGCAAGTTCGTATTTGCCTTTGTGGATACCGCGTGTTCCCATTGCATAAAGATATGTAAGACCAAACATAATCATATCTTTTTCTTCGACTTTGAAGCCTTGTTCGTTGCAGTATTTGGAGCATTCAATGACAGTTTGTACAGCACCGGATGTAGCTTGGAGAACTTCACTGGTAAGAACGTAGAATCTTCTCTTGAAGTAAAGTTCATTGTAGTAATCGACTTGTTCAGGGAGAGTTAAACGGAAATCCAGGGGGATGATGTTTTTGTTTGGATCTGGCCACCATAAAGTGTAGCCGAGCATGACTGGTAACCTTGCTTTCTTGAAGAGGTCCTTGGAGATCTCTTCGATTGTCTTGGTTATATCAACTCTGACGGTCTTAACCGAGTCATCTGGATAATGGATTCTGATATTTTTGTTCCTGTCGAGGAGATAGACAACCATACCATCCTGTAATGAGTATGTCTGAAGGATATCGTCGTCTTTAACCCAACGATAAACTGTATCGACGAGATGAATAACGCAAACATGGTTGGGATCCTCTGGAACACCAAGGTACTGCTCGCAGGCCTTGCGAAGAATGGATCCTGAGAATCTTCTGTCGAACTTGAACTCTTTGATCTGCTGATCGCCAAGATCTGTTGTTGCACCAAGGTAAATTGCAGTTTTTTCAGTAATAAGTGTATGGAAATCACCCTTGTTTGCAAACTTACGACCTCTATCTGTGTAAATCTTGTTTGTGATTTCACGATATCTGCAAATAAGTTTGTACATCTGATCGACGTTATCTGATTCGAACTGGTAGAGAGCGTTCTTGCCAGCACATGGAGCGAAACGGATATCAAGAGTATCAACGCATTGGACGTAGATAATTTCAGTATATGAGACACGTTCTTCGATATTTCCGTATCTGTCACGGATCAAAAGACGATATGGATTGACTTCGACGATAACGTTCATGTCAACGTCTTCGCCGTGAATTTTTGTTGTAATATGGCAATCGAAGGATTGAGCGGCAAATCCAGGGATATGTCTAAGTAATCCGATGAAGTTCTTGATGGCGTTGAAGTGGTCTAAGCGACGGCCGTATTTGTCCAGGAATTTTTGGACTGATTCACCTTTTCCGGCGTCTTTTCCTTTCTCGCCGAGCTTCTGTGGCAAGTAAGGAGAGACATCGTCTGGTACATTGGTCATATCACCTTTGTTCGTGGCTACGTAGTTGTAAGCGGCGTATTTAAGAACTTCTTCTTTTTTGAGTTCGAGTTTGCTCTTGTTTGCCAATTCTTTGGCATCTTCGAATGCGTAAATTGCTTGCTGCATTGTTGTAATATCTTCCAATGAGAAGAGGTAGTATTGTCTCATGAAAATAACTTCCTTGAGAACTTTCGTTTGTTCTGGGATAGATTTTTCAATGGACATGTACTTCGGTTGATTTGGATTCTCCATTGAGCACAATGTGAAGCAGTGGTAAGAATCGAGATCTAATGCCTGAGCGATGTCGCCAACCAATTCGCTGACAGGCTTAGTAATATCGAGAGTAATTTTGATTGATTTATAATGCTGAGAATGAACTGTAACCGAAGTGTATCTGTTGAAAAGGTGAATTTCGGTTGATTGTGAAGGATTGTAATCGGAAAGGAACTTTCCTTCTGCGAACCAAACTGGATCACTTCCATTTTCCTGTGTAATGAGAATGGCCATTTCTTCTTCCATGTCCTTTCCCATAGTCATGAAAGCCATTTGCAAGCAGTCTTGCAAGTTGTCGTAAACTCTGTAGATGACTTTAACGGACTTTTCCTTGAAAGCGAAAAATGTGAATAAAGTGACGACTTCTTCGCTGACATCACCTCCACCTTCAGCATCACCAGAGGCAGCACCCCAGCCAAAGTTGGTGTTGAAATCTGCAATTGAGGAGTTAATGTTAAACTCGTATTCGTCATTCATGGTGCCAAGGATTGTAACTTCATCATCATCTATATTCAGAGATTTCGCGATAATCGTGGGTCCAATAGTTTCTGGTTCTTGCATAGCAAAGTTGAAGTTGAAATTGGCAAACATGCCTGTAGCAAATTGTGCGGCGTCGCTGAAATCGTCTGTCTTGTAAAATTGAGCTTGGAGACCTTCCAAGGAAGCGAAAGGTGCAATAATCGAGTCAAACGAAGTAGACATATATGGCATTGAATCGATTGGAGGTGCCTGCAATCCACTATAATCAAACTGAGAAAACTGTTGTTGCTCGACTGGTTGATAAAATTGTGGATCTTGAAATGGCATCTGTTGATTAAAATCGGTGTTCAATGCTTGCATTGGTTGATTGTTGAATTCGGGTTGCGGTGGGGCAACATATTGTAAACCGATAACATTTCCTTGCTCAAGGCCTTGCATTCTAAGCGTTTGAATCATATCAAGCCAGAATGTTGAGCCGTCAGCTTTTTGAACGTATGCATTGCATGTAATATTAGGAGGAATATTTAAATATTGCTTAGCAGTTTGAACTGCTTCATCTCCTGTATAATCTAAATAATATTGGAATGGTTGGTAGTTCTCCGGGGCGTCTTGTGAGACGGTATAGAGAGTTACAACCCCTTCCATATATTTTTACTTGATACTAAAACCGTCACTTTTATTATGTCAGATATTGATCCCATTATTAAAATCAATAAAATGGTAATAAATTAGATATATATATTCATTTGTAAAGTTGACAATTTTGAGACGTATTGAATTATCAAACAAATTTGCAAAAGTAGGATAAATGAAATACTATTATTAAAATCTATTTTCAAAGAATATGAAGTGATTTTGGCAAACCCAAATTTTAGCTAAAAGTGACAGGGGGAAAAAAACGTTTAGTATTAAAAAAAAAGACCGATGAGAGCTTCGTTCGAAATATAGAGGGAACTGAGAATGCGCAACCATTCTCAGGGAATATTGGATGCTATTCCCGTTCCCTCTGTATGGAAAATTGAGGTTTTCAAAGGGAGTTAAAATAATATCAAATTTATACTAATTTACTTCAAAATACAAAAGTATTTGACAGCTAAAATTAGTTACTTTAGCAAGCCTATCAATACCCTTTTACGATTATTGCTACTTTTTCGAAATAAAAGTAAAAACAAATTTATACTAATTTACTTCAAAATACAAAAGTATTTGACAGCTAAAATTAGTTACTTTAGCAAGCCTATCAATACCCTTTTACGATTATTGCTACTTTTTCGAAATAAAATAAATTTATTATCAAAAACCTTTTTTTTTCTTAGTAAAAATAAACGAAATTTTTTACCTTATGAACTTTTGATGGAAATATGCAAATTTAAAATAATAAAGAAAGCCGCGAGCGAATCGAGCGGCTTAGGTCTAAGATTTTGATTCAAATCTTCGCTTATATTCCTTAAATTCTTTATGAAACTCGCAACAGTTCCATAAAAAATTTTAAATTCTAAACTGTCGAAATTACCGATCGGTAATCACACCCTTCACGGGTGTGTCACTTTTTACAGGTGTGTCACTTTTAGCTAAAATTACCCCTACTCAAGTGATTTTATTGATTTCTGATAATTGTCAAAAAAAGCAAACTATTCGAACTCATTGGATGTATAAATACATAATGAAACGAGTCTGATTAATGAAAAATTGACAAAGTTTGATAGGGGTCTGATGATAAAATTGGCCCTCGTCCCGAGATTAAGGATAATCATAAATAAACGATATAAAATATTTCACTTATTGATATAAATGATATGAAATCGATACAAGTTGCATCGAAAGCTCTTGAAGCAAAGTGTACAAGGTTGGATACATCTAATCAGTAATAATAATGCATATACCTATCTACAAATGAATCTATTTTCCTGAATATTCAACGATTATTTAAATATCTTCATTCTATCGACATTCATACTTGGCGTCTATAATTCATCTGTATTTAGCAATCAAATTGTGGATTTGTTTCATAAATATTTTTCAAAATTAATGAAGAAAGAGAAAATATCTAAGGAAAAAGTACAAATTAATAGTCATTTTTCTGATTTTGAATTTTTTTGGAATGAAAGATCATTTATTATGTTTCGACAATAAACAGATAGTGCTGATTTTCATCTCACTGATTTATTCAACTACACAGAAATGAATATGATCAAGATTTCAAGTCATTCATCTTTATTTCATTCGAAAACACTTGCAATATTTGAATGATCACAGTAAAATCTAAGTTTACACTAATAACAACACGTCCAATTACTACTTTTGTACTTCAAACTATTATAATTTTTATAAAAATATACAAATTTTGAATTATGTTAAGAATTCAAAAATGTAACATTATGTAGTGATTTGTAATATATTCGTGCGATATTAATAATAAACATTTAACATAAATAACAAACAAATAAAATCAAAAACGCAAACGCTTTGTATAAGTACCGGTTGGAGTAATATTTCGCTGAGAAATCGGACCATTCGGATGAGGAATTCTTAACTGAGGTAATCTTTGTCGACTTTTATCTTTCATAGTATGTCCGTTGGCACTAATAGGAAGTGATGTACAAAAACATTTCTTAACTTTATGACATTCATCAGGTGGAGCGATGTTGTTTTTAACTGCAATCCAAAATGCAGCACTCTCTGGAGTAATTTCTCCTCTTTGAACATCGTTCTGTATTTTATGAACATCATAGCCTAAAGAACCTATGTAGTGGAGTATATTTTTTGCTATAATAACTTGTGGTTTTCTTCTAACATTCGTTAATTCGTCTATTGAAGTAATTGCTCCGAGGTCTATCGGACATTTTCTAACTTCATATCTATCTTGCCGAAAGTTTTCCATTCTAACCCAAGGGTGTCGAATTATTTCTTCTAATTTAATACGTAGCTTAGGATTTGGATTAACCATTTTCTTTATCAACTCTACTAGTAATGGGGACATAGTTGGTGGATATTCTATAGCATTTACTTGATCACGGATCAATTTAGAATTCTTATTTTGGAGATCTATTGGAACTTTTCCGACAACCATAGCATATAAACATATACCAAGGCTAAATATATCGCATGAATTATCGTAATCAACTCCATCGACAACTTCAGGAGCTGTAAATCCGGGAGTTCCAACGAAAGAATTAAAGGATCTAAGGAAGTTATTTGAATTGCAAAACCCAAAGTCAATAAGTTTTGCAGATCCGGTTTTCGATATGAGAATGTTTTGTAACTTAATATCTCTATGACAAATTAATCTCGATCTATGCAGATAATTTATGGCACTGAGAACATCATTAAAATAGCTTCTAGCCTGGGATTCTGAAAGTCCGTGCATGTCATTAACTTTAGTCAAAATCATGCCACCATTAATATACTCGGAAATTATATATAGCCTGTTTTCGTTTAATATGTATTCAAAGGTGTATACAATGTTAGGATGGTCTACTTGAAGAAGAGCCGTGACTTCTCGCACTAAACAGATTTCATCATCTTCCGTTATTGTGTCTAAATTGATAACCTTTATGGCCACATCCTGCTGAGTGATTTTATGAATACCGTGGAAGACATCCGCATATGCACCATGACCTATTTGCTCACAAAACTGATAATTGTTAATATCACTTACATCCCCCATGTATTCTAGAAAAAAATTCAAAACTTTACATTGATTTTAAATTTTCTAGGGATGCGACGGTTTTACGCCATGACCGTTTAAAAATAGAATAATACGCCATTTTTGGGGCCGAATGGCGGGTACGAAGTAGCCGCCATTCGGCCGAATAACAAAACAATACAAAATTATCGCCGTCCTTTTTTTTTCTTTCTTTCTCTTTTTTTTTCTCTCTCTCTTTCTTTTCTCTTTCCTCTTTTTACTCCTCTTTCTCTTTTCATCATTAAACGTAGAAAGATATATTAATATTATTTTAAAATTAAAAAAAAATAAAGAAAGTATAATAAGTAATTATTTAGTTATCGATATATATATGTAAAGTGATAATCTGAGGATAATCTGAGGAGGAGTCTGAGGATTAGACCGAGGAGTAGTTTGAGGAGTTTGATGATAATCTGAGGAGTTTGAGGAGTAGTCTGAGGAGTTTGAGGATAATCTGAGGAGGTTGAGGATAATCTGAGGAGGTTGAGGAGTAGTCTGAGGAGTTTGAGGATAATCTGAGGAGTTGTCTGAGGAGTAGTTTCAGGAGTTGTCTGAGGATAATTTGAGGAGTTTGAGGAGTAGTCTGAGGAGTTTGAGGAGTAGTCTGAGGAGTAGTCTGAGGAGTTTGAGGATAATCTGAGGAGGAGTCTGAGGATGATCTGAGGATAACCTGATGACTAGTCTAGGAGTGGTCTAATAAAAATGTAAAATATTTTCAAAGAAAAAATTCTATGAATTTTATATTTTAATTCTTAGCATTATACTGAATAAAATAAACATAAATATCAAAATTTGAAATTGAACACGCCAAAAAATTGATAATCCACATTCAATATTTTGTAAGTGGCGTACTTTTTGAATACTCGCCATACGCCTTGGAGTTCTCAATTTTGAATTCGCCTTTATTTGGGCGACCTCAGAAAAATACGCCATTAAGAAAATATTGTATTAGATTTTAAATTTGAACACGCTCTACCTTAAGGAATTAAATTTATTAAGATATATTTATATATAATAAACGATTACTTAAAAAAAAAGTATTTCATCGCTTATGTAAGTTTCAAAAAAATCACGAAAATAAAAAAATTAAGATTAAAATTTTATTTTTAATTTTTGAATTTCTCAAATGGCGAAATTTTTGGGCGAACAAAAAAATGTACGCCCGGTCAAATGGCGTGTTTAACGCATCCCTAATTTTCTATCAGCAAATTAATTAAGTTATATGTTTTGCCACATCTTCAAACAATAAATTGCCGGTTCATAGAAATAACGTTTCAATTATACTGATAAAATTCTATGAGTCTCCATAAAACCTAAAAAATATTAATGACTGAAAAGAAAGGCACTCTAGCAACTGCAAATACAGCAATTGATTTAATTACTAGACCTCCTCGTGGCGAATACAGCCTCAAGAATCTTGGTGATATAGAAATAGATCCATTGCTTCCAAAAATTCCAAGAATTCCAGTGACCTTCCGAAATTCTCAAAATCTTGCTTTAATGGGGTCATTGTACGCTCCATATGGTTTCCCTGATGTCAGACCACCAGCTTGCGTTATCTATCTTCATGGCAATGCAGGTACACAAGTTGAAGGTCGCTTCATGGTTAAGTACTTAGCACCAAAAACGATAGCTACTTTTTGCTTTGATTTCGCAGGAAGCGGAAATTCTGATGGCGAAACTGTTACGTTGGGTCTAAATGAAAAACAAGATGTTGAAGATGTTGTTAGGTTCCTTGAAAAATCATTCGGCCTAAAGAAATTCATATTATGGGGAAGATCTATGGGCGCAGCAACCACTTTTCTTGCGGCTCCTATGATCCCAAACTGTATCGGAATTATTTCTGACAGTCCATATGCTTCAATAAAGTGGATGTTTGATGATATGGCCAAAAAAGTTAAAATACCAGGCATCGTAAAAGGACCAGCCCTTTGGTATGTTAAGCATTGCGTCAATGGAAAAATCAATGCAGATATTACTGAAGTATCTCCAATCGATGAAGCAAAGAAGCTTTCTATTCCACTAATTATCGGTCATGCAGCAGAAGATTCTTTCATTCCATATTACCATGCACAAAAATTGTACGATATTTACAAAGGAAAAGACAAATTATTAATGCCACTTCCTGGAGATCACAATTCCAAGCGTCCCGTTGAGTGGCTCAACACATGTTTTAACTTTATTTGCAGACTTGCAGGCATTGAATTTGCAGAAATCTCTGTTTGCGAATTTGGTTCAAATCCAGGATATCAATCCGGAACAGATGAGCACTTCAGGTCTTACGAAGAAATGGCCAGGAACCAAAAGTAGTTCATTTTTTTCATTTCATGTCTTTCTTATTAGTGTAATCGTATACGTTACCAATCAGCTAGTTTGTTTGTTAAAAATTCATTTCGTTTACCATTGAATTAATTTATCGTAATTTTTATTATTGAGCCGATATTGTTTATATTCATCATATATACTATAACAACCTATGTTAGCAGTATACGTCAGCGTTATGCTAAATAATTTTACTTTTTTCCTCTTTGCATCAAATTTGATAAGACGAAAAATTATCCAAAATATAGAAATCGTAATGAGATATGTGTTTCTTAAAAAGTTCATACTATGATTTTATTATAACTCACCATTTTTGAAATTTTCCAAATTTTTTTGTTTTCAATTTGCAATATTTTCCATATAAAACGGCGTAAAATATAATAAAACAACATTTGAATCTACAAACGGTGATTTTTCAATTGAAAAGAATCAAAATTTATAAAAAAAATTTTTTCATGAGAAACCAAGTTCGTCGCTTCCTTCCAGATTCGATTAAGTTTACACCGGAAGAAGCCGACAAGTTTTGGTTTGACATGGTGGATGATTTGGAGAAGAAATTAGATCCTCTTCAGCCTTTAGAATTAAGACATACTATCAATATAACACAATCAATGCTTACTTTTCTTCACAAACCACGTGGTGATTGCAGGAAAAAGGTATTTTCTGTTCTTTTTAGGATTAGCTTTCACCAACCTGTCTTCAATTACGTTACTCAATACGATGCTATCAATTTCTTAACTTGCATCATACCAAAACTAGCAACTGAAAAGTTCATCACAGTAAATTGGCGCGAAGTACACAAAATGATAGACAATATCATTATAAAGGACTTTTTACTCAATATTTCACCGACACAAAAATCATTCCACACGGTTTTAGACAACGTAATGGAAATATCTAAGTATTTCACAGACGAAGCCGAAGACGAAATCTTCGAATATTTCTTACCTCGCGTTTCTCCAACTGGAAGTGCCAAGCAAATCATTCTTTTCGCAGTTTTATTCCCATCAAATGCAAAGAATTACAAACGCGCCGCCAACATTTTCCTCAATTTACTACACGAATCAGATTGCGATCCTGTTCGCTATTTCCTCACATCAGCAGTAACTCATTTCGTTCTTTACCACTTCTACGATGACAACACAATGTTGTTAGACTACATTTTCCCTCAAATTCTCTTACAAACCATTTGGAATAACGAACTTATTTATTTGTCATGCCAGCCAATCAATTTCGATATTTCGATCGGCGATGACATGCAGTACGAAGCTCTGTCACAATGCATATGCTGTTTATTCCTTTCTCCTCCTTCAAGAAAAGAAACAATGACTAAATTAGATTTATTTTTCAAAGGAGCGAAGAAACTTGTACATCCGTCCAATCTTGACAATTTCGATGCTGATCCATTGATTTCCCTTGTTTTCCAGATCGCATCTATTCTTCATCAGACAGATATCCTTCTTGCCGAAGGAAAACCAGGATTTCCAACCGAAATCAGACCTTCCAGTGAAGAATACGAGACATTCTTTGAACCCTTAGTATCAACATGTGTTTACGCATTAGAACACATCAGTTCTCCACATAATTTCTACAAATTCATGGTCAGAATTTTTGATTTATGTCCTCAATTGGTTCCAAGATTGTTTAACCTGGCAAATGAGATCATTACTACTAATGACACATTGGGCAGTACATTGAGTGCATGGATTATTCTCACAGCATCAATGTACGCCACGCAATTCAATGACAATTTCATTGAAACACAAATGAATTTTGTCAGAATTGCAATTGAGAATTTTTATATGGAAGATTATCAGTTGTCATTCGGTATCTATTTAACAATCTTCTTCAGTACATGCCCTATTTCCAAGAAGACGAAATACCCTGATTACATCGATCCAATTGAATTAGGACAGGATTTCTTGAATTCTTTGATTCAATCATCAACATATGAACCAGAATACATCGAGAATTTGTATAGATTAGGTTATACAACACATTCTCTTTTCTCTTTGATATATTCTTTCCTTTCCGGTACAGATCAAGAAATATTACATCATTTTGTCCCAATTTTAACTGACATGATTTGTAATCCTTCTTTATTCCATGTTCCTTTGAAGTTGTTGAATATTTTGCAGTGTTTCAGTATATTCGCAGCAAAAGAAGATATCAAGGAAATTTACGATGTCGCCGTTCGCCAGAATTCCAAAAGATTGATTGACTTGCACGAGATAAGATTCATCGCAATGGCAATAGCAATTCTCGGTCGCGAATCATCAGAAAATCCTGAACAAGTCAAATCTGTTATTTCTCAATTTGACAAATACAGGGAATCTGATGACAAAAAGATCAGAAGAATCGGATGGAACGCTGTTGCAACAACATTAGTTCCTTTCGCACATGTTATTTTGACAACGAAATACAATGGAAAACCTTTCGAAGAAACAGGAGAAAAGACAATTTCTGACATAGTTATTCCATTCAAAAACATGTATTGCGAGCCATTGCAAGAATACAAGATCTATCCAGAGTTGATTGATGAAGTATTCATTCCTTATTTCCATAAAATTTTGGAAGAATCCGATTTCAATGTTGTCGCATCAATGCTCAAACCTTTCTACAAATCTTGCATGCTTGTTCTTCAAAAATCTGATATTATAGTTAGCGATGATTACTCTACATTCCCTAAGCCATTCTCTAACTCTGAAAAGATGAAACAAGGAAGAAAAATACCAATGAAATTCATGTCAGAAATAACTGATATGTGCTTAAAATTACATGAAAAATTCCCTGATAACCAGATCATTACTACATGTATTTCTAATCTAATGATTTCTTTGACAGGATACTTAGGAACTAACCTCTCTATTTTCAATGGTTTGAACTCGATCTTCCTTCTTGAATCAAGAAAGAAAGTAGCAAATAGAATTTTGACAGGTGAATTAGTGACACTTTTCTATCAAAAGAGATTGAATTGCGCATTGAGACCAATTCCTCCTAGATTTGATGAGATATTCAACGCGTTTTTGGACATCGCTTTCACTAAAAACGAATCTGTCCAGATAATTGGTTTGTCCGTTGTCGATGTTTTCTTCGACAAATACATGCCAATCGCGTGGAATTTCTTCTCAAAGAAATTAGAAACTGTTAATACAATAACCGATCAATTTGTCAATTTCTATCGTTCCATTGGTAGTTTCACAACATGCCATCCATGCATGCACAAGCAAATGCTGATGACATTACAGCCACTCACTGATTTAGTTCGCGATCAAAGCGAAATGATTTTGAAGATACAAGTCATGGATGATGCTTTGAGCACAAATTGGACAAATGTTCCTGGAAGCGAAGACCAAAAGAAATGGATTGAATTCTCAAATCAATTGTCTAAAGTTGTTGAAGAGAATTACCGCGAAGAATCAACATTCGAATTAATTGCTCTTGCTTTAATTTTGATGACAATCAAACACACTGATGATTTGCCAAGACCTCTGTTTTCTTTCTGTATCTACATGGCACAAAACGAGTCTTATAAAAACACTGTTGTTGCTATCTCTGTGTTGACTGAAATTCTCAAGAGAAGAATGAAATACACAGTAGAAACAATAGATACATCAAAGGTTGTTCCTCTTTCTGAACAGTGCAAATACGTCATCAAAGAAATCAAAGGAACAACTCCAGAAGACTTTTTGCCTGCAGCAGAAAATGATTTTACTTTTGACCAAGTTGAAGCATACGACAAATATTGGACAGGATATTACGCAGTACCTAAATCATACAGCTACAAGAAGATAACTGAGTATTACCAAGACGATGAACTTCTTGAAGCATTCCCTGATATTACAGAGGTCCTAGTAAACATGATTGATGATGATTTCGATACTTCAACAGTTGATATGTTCTTTGGAACAATTGCTCATACAATGGGACCACAAATTATCGAACCATTGTCGAAATGGCTTGACGAAGCAATTGAAACAATTGAAGAGCCAACAATTTGGTCACAATTAGTCAGTGTTGTCTCAGAAATGATTGTTGCAACGAAACATTGGAGTGCCAAAGATTCACAGAGATTTTCACGCGAAATCACACTGAAAATCCTTGTTAAAACACTTGACAAACCATCTTTGTTTGATGAATTCATTGATATAACAGGTGAATTCCATTTCTTGCATCCTGTAAGATATTCTCCAATAATTAATTATCTCCTTTCCGCGGCATCTCCTGATCCAAATGCTCCGACATTTAGAAAGAGAGCATTGACTTGTTTATTCAATTTGATATCAGCAAGACCGATGTCTTTCATTCCTCTTTTCCCAGTGATTTTCAACAACTTTGTTAAACCACTTTTGGAAAGTTACGAAGAAAATCAATCGGATCTTGTTGGACAAACACTTAACATCATTTGTGATTATGTTTCTGTTTTCTTAGTTCCTGAATCATCTCCTTTCTATTCTCCAGAAAATAAGAGCAACATCAAGATGATAATTGACTTCTTAGACGGTGTTTTCAAACAAGCAGGTGAATCTAAGAAGACAGAAAAACTTCTGGAGAATTGGTGGGATCAAGCATCAAAGATAACTCCTTCTGTTTTGTTGACAATATTCCCAATCTTTGAAAACAATGTTCAGAAGTTGCTGAGATTGATTTCGACTTCTAACTCTGATCAGAAGACAGCAATGATCAATTCCTTGCATGATATAACTGAATCTCCTGCTTTCACGACAAATAATGATAGATTTATTGAATTTTTGACTTCAATTATCTCGAATTTGTCTATTTTGTCATCAACTGTCCAGAATAGAGTATTAAACTCAACGAGAGCTTTCTTGAGGTTCTCGACATTCTCGACAAGTCAGGAAGCTTTGATCAAAGCACGCGACGAAATCAAAAAGATTGTTGTTTCAATTCAGAATCCAACAGTTAAAGTGTCAATGCTAAATACATATGGAGTTTTGCTCAGAGAAACAAATACTGAGCCAAAGGATATCCTTGATAAATGCGCAATAGTTCTAACTGCGCTTTTACTTGATGAAAGGGAACCATTAACAGAAAAGTGCTTCGAAGAAATAGAGAACGCTTTAGTTTCTTGTTCTCAGATTGAAGAAGTAATGTATAAACAAGTTATTGAAATGTTTTGGACAACGCATGAGGAGCAGTTATCCCCATCTGTCCTTGAGCCTCTTGATAAGTATAGAACACTTGCACCTCCTTCTTATATTTCATAAAGTATATATATTATCCTTATAGATTTTTTAATTTAATATCCTATCTAAATTTGAGTAAAGTCGTATGATTTTTCATGGAAAATACACAATCTCTCTATATAATATCGAATCAAATGTGTAAATTTAAAAAAAAATACTTGTGATCTTTTATGTATTCACTAAAATTAAGCGAAACATCCTTATTCAAACCCAAATCTTTAGATGGTTGGAGGTTCAATTTTTATTTCCCGCTTTGAGCCTTGTATTTCTGATAAAAATATTACATACAAGTTGGAAGTCAAAAGAAATGAGCATCTTCTTATGTCTCAAAAAACAATAGAATTTGAATAAAATTTGAAAACCGACCAATCTTATTATTCATTAAAAGAGTAAGATTCACATAAGGAAACATAACATATTCTTCGTCATTCATCATCTCTAAGGTACTTTATCATCTAAAATTTGTTTTCGCAAGAAAATACACGCACAACTTAAGTACTGATTAAATTACAGCTAAAAGATACATATAAATATTTCAATTATGCCATTTATGCTGCCAAATTGCTATATAACGTCTGGTTTTAATTCAGTTTTTGAATTCAGATATTGTTCAAAGCGTAATCCGATCTCAATTCAGTTTCTTTATATCAATGTGAACTTGGTGTTATAAAAATATACTGAAAATAAGAATACCTTTTGTAAAGATTAAAAAATTGAAGTATAAAAAGGGGAAATATTTATACCGGAGCTTTCAAAAAGCACTTTAAATGTCCTATATCATTATTATCAACTCTTAATATTAATATTAATATGATTGATGAAATGTGACTTTTTATCATCGTATTGCGCAAATTCAAAAATCGGGAATATTTCACCTTTTTGAAAAAAATTTACATTTCAGAAGTTTTGAACACCAACAAGAAATATACACGCCAAGATTCCTAATTGAAAAAGTTACACATTGAAAAAGTGGTTCTGACAATTTGAAACAACTTTTTGAACTCACAATAGAGTTTCAAGATTCGTCATCACACATTAATTCCATTTTTTGAACAATTAACGTCTAAATTTTCACCCCATTCAAATTAGATTTTTCAAGAAAAAAAAATGTTTTGGTTTACTAAAGCACAGGCGAAAGGGTTTCCAAAACGTTTAAGAATGGCACTAGAAAGCATGGAATTACATCAGAATAATGATACAATCAACGATGTGAAATTATATGTATCCAAAATCACTGACACTTTAAATGTCGATTCTTATAACAGGGAAAATTTACCACATATCATAAATAAAAAGCTTTATAGAGATAAGACAGTCGCAAACATATTGAAATTCATGCCATACTTCGACCAAACGATGAATAATAGTGTATCTACGCTTTTGCAATCTAGCATTCGCGAAGATCCAACAGATTCTTTACCGAAATACTTGATTAACCATAAAGAAGCTCTTGACACTTTATTATCTTATTTATCCATTCCAAAATTGTCGTCGATTGCTAATATATTAATACGAGAATGCATAAGAAATGAAAGCTTTGTAAGTTACCTGTTTGAATATCAATACGTTTCATCCTTTATAATTTATTTGCTTGGCGACAACTTCGAAATGGTCACGAACGCTTTCAAGACATACGAAGAAATGCTTAACTCACAGATATCAGTTAGTTCAGCCTATATTCTGTCGCATTATGATATTTTTTCGCTTCATTTTAAGCAACTTTTGCGTTCCAATGTTTATATCGTTTCCCTACTTTCCATTCCCCTTATTCTGAACTTTATAACGAGAGAAGAGTGCAGACCAATTCTTATGTATTTTGTTAATGATCCATATAATCTTGAATGTATCTGCAGACATTTAGAAAGTCGTTCAAAGAAAGTCCGATCAAATGCATATTCTATATTTAAATTATTTGTAATTAATCCTCATCGTACGCAGCTAATTCGAACAGAACTCCACGAGAACAAGACAAAACTCATACGATTGATACAGAAAGTTCAACTACCTGATGATGAAGAACTTTTAAACGAGCGGAGATCTGTAATATCTAACTTATAAGTTATATATTTAATTAAAATTTTGTTTGTACTTTGTTTTGAATTCATATTACATTTTTTAACCATTTTCTTGTTCGTGTATTCACTTTCACAGAGTTTTATACTTTATTTAATTTTAATTTGTCACTTTTTATCATCAAAAATGTTGAATCTCTTTGTTTCATTACAAAGAGCGGCAACATGTGACAGAACATTCAAACATAACATGGGTGTTTACCACCATGTCGAAACTATTGATGTAGATAAGACATATTGCATTAATGCCACTTATTATCCATTTTATTTGATTTTTGATGAGTTTGAAGAGGGTATCGTATTAAACGAATACTATTCACGCTCTCCTAACAGAGAAACAACAAGAGATGCAGTTTTTACTTCTGATAATTTAACAACTTTTCGAGTTTTCGAGCTTCCTTACGGATCATTTACAATTAAAGCCATAAAATCATCCATGGTATCGTTTTCTTACATTTCTCTCCCAGGATACTGCCAAACAGGCGTTTATTTGAGTTCATATCATTCAGATTTAGTTCAACTTTCACCATCTCAAAAGAACTTCTACAAACTTGGAAATTATGATGACAAATGCTTCATATTCAGCACAGAATCGGCACAATCATTCAAAATCGATCAAATTTCAAAAGATCAGCTAGATCGTGTCTTTTATCACACAAACTACAGAGAATTTGATGTAGCTACAGGCAACTTCTCAAAGACATATCATTACACGCCAGTTGCCACTCAACCTCGTCCATTTGTCAGATTATTAACAAATAGAGGTCTTCCACCAGATTTACTGAAGATTTCCTTCGAAGCAGGAGCGAAGACTGAAAGAGAAGATTCTGGAACTAACATTCCTCGCGGTAGAACGATAGATTGCGAACATATCCTGACTTGGTATAGCGAAGAACTGATTATTATGCTCATAGCCTGCTGTGTATTCTTTGGAATCATATTTGTCATGCTTGTAAGCTGCAAAATTATGTCAAAGCGTCAGCCGAAATAAATGATTGTTTTTATTGTTTTTATTCTAATAAATATACTATTATTTGAACCATTAAAACTTATTCTTTAGTTTAAATTGAAAATAATTTGTTGCAAAGTATATTTTATTGCCCAATCCGATAGATCTAAATCGAACAATGAAATCAATACCAAAATTATATTATACTGAACAAAACCAAGAATTTTACATTACTCAATCTAAAAAATATCGAAGTCATTTCAATTTCAAGATTTAATTTCGAATGATTAATGACCAAAACTTATTCAAAAACAATCAGTTAGTCAATGGTAATTTATCCAACTAATCAACAAGGCGAATTAAAAAAGGAAGTAAAATAACGGCAAAAAAATAAGACCACAGATTAATTAACAATACAAACACTTTAATTCTCTACAAAAGATATATACAAAACAAATAATATTATTCTGATCGTTGAGTCTGTTTCTGTTGTTCGTTGAGATCTTCAACGAGATCATCCATACCGGCGAGCTTCGCGAAGAACCTAGCGTTTTCAAATCCACCAATATCATTCTCTTCATCACTAGAAGTGTCAGAACTGCTACTGTCAGACAAAATTTCGATGTCAAGAGAAACGAAAGGTGCTGAGTGCTCCGGAGGATCCCCGTAGTCAGAAGACTCATCGCGAGGCCGTTCTCCACCAAACGCGCCGCTCCTAATCAAAACATGTGGATCAACAATGTCAATCTTGAATTCTCTAAATGACGGTGTAATGAGTGAGGGGATGACGTACAGTAATTCAGCTAAGCTCCATACGTATGGATTTGTTTTGCTGATCGGATTATTCAGTATTCTATCGATTAAATTGTATTTCGTATTCAATTCTATGAGTTTTTTGTCGCCAATGGACGATATTGCCTTAATAATTGCGGAGTTGAGTGATGAAAATGGATGGTCGTCGAATAATCGGTTGATATATTCATCTGGAAAAACTTTAAATAAAGAAATAGCGCTTGCTCGTATGAAATCCTGCGTATGCTCTTCAAAATTGAAGTTTTCGCCGTATGAAAGGATGGTGGCTTTGACTTGTGGATCTTTTCCGACAGAATTAATTTTTTCGAGAACTTGGAAGAGCTTGAACAACAATAGTGGATTGCCTGGCTTTATGACCTCTTGGAGTAATATTTCTACAACATCAACGGTGTCGAATAAATTAAATAAATCTTTTTTCAGTTTGAGCATCTGTTTCATCGATGCAACAGCGGTAAATCCATTTGGCCCGCCGACTGTTTGCGCAAACATTTTAATAAGATTTAAATCGACGCCAAACTGGAGCATAAATTCGGTCGTCAACGTAATCCACAATTCAGAGTACGCGAGTATGTTTAAATTATCAATTAAAAATTTCGAAATATTTGGGAGGTTAGAAAGGTATTGTCCGTTCGTTCGATGGACAATAGAATCTAAAATGCGTTGAAAATTACCTGCAATTTTAGGTTGTCTTGCATATTCGGTATCAGGAAAACTTTTAATGACATTTAAAAACAGGGGATTCTCGCTAAACTTTTGTTGGGTTTCATTTGAATTTGTAGTTAAAAATAGCATTGTATTCGATATCATTTTCGCAGTATATCCGAGGGATGCTGCTTTATCAGTTAACGCTATATTCAATACTTCGGGAAATATATTATCAGAAAGTAGATAAGCGTTTAGTTGAGGATGACATGTTTTAACAGCTTGAACAAAGGATGGTGTACCTAGCACGGATTGAAGAGGAGGATTTTCCGCTTGAAGTATTGCATCAAGCGATTCAGGCTCCGTGCTTGACATTTAATTATTGAAAAGTTTACAAAAAGTTTAGGTGTAGTTTTGAGGGAAAATGTAAAAATATTTGTTGAGTATTGAAACAAAAATAATCGTATGAATGTATGTATATCTTTCGATTCTGATTATAATTAATCGAAAACGTAAAAAAGTTGGACGGTATATAATCTAGTGAATTCCGTCATTCTTTCAAATATGATATTGCTCATCGTTATGCATTCTTTAGAAATATGCAAAAATGAAAAGAGTATTAAAAATCTGTACTTCGACCACTTTTTTTCAATTTCTCCATGCAATTATATAATTATTATTGAATTCATAGTTAATATTTTACGCCATTGATACCAGGAATCATAATATCAAGATTCTTTTTGTTGAACAATTTGGGGAAAATTTTTAGAATAAGTCAATTGTTTGATTGAAGTCTTCTCCAGATACGTGGGAACAAAACATATTTCATATATTTAATAGAAACTCAGCTTGAATACATCTTTTGAAGCAATTGAAGCACCTTAAAATTTGAATGAGTTATTATTGATTCAAACAATCAATTATCGGAATAGAGAATCCGATACTGACGTCCGAAATGTTCTATTTGCGGTTAATCGAAATTACAGTTTTTACATCAGATGCTAACTCGTTATTTTGGATTTGATAACAGGCATAAGTAGTCTACAAGAAATCGTTTTTGCATAACAATTAGAAATTCTTTACCTGTTTGGTCAATTTGTTTAATGGCAACTTGACCGAACATTGTTTAATTTCCCAAAATGCTTAACACATTATTGGTATTTTGAATCATGCTGAATAAATGCATAAACAAGTCAATTAAAAATTTCGATTTTGAAATATTCGAGAATTGGCATATTGAATATCAACTATATTTGAAAATTTATAGATTTATCTTTTCCCAGATAGAAATAAGCTCTTTTGTATGAAAATAAATTATCAAAATCAAATGTCCTCAGATAAAAGAAAAATAATTGAAAAATCCGCCTTAACTATTCAATGGTAAATCAGATGATCCAAGATATGGTATTGATATATTTTATTTCAGCACTTTTGTAATAAAATTTTAGATGCTCTCAATTTTTTTTATAATATTCAATGGAAGCTGCTAAAGAGGCTGCTGATCAAACAGCTCCAGAAGGAGTTCCTGTTGAGGTATTACAGAGGTTTACAGAGCCGGACATTCCACCAGTCCACGAACAAATGGCTGATTCTCCGATCAAGGTTTTTTGGAAGAATCTTGAAAGATTACAACCTGCTAAGCCAGTAAAGGAAAACAAACCAAATGATCAATTACAAAATGAAGACGAAAATAAAGAAGGTTCCGAAAATAATAAAGATAATTCTCAGGATCAGAGCAACGCAAACAATGAAAATGCAGATAATGAGCCAGAAGTAAACGAAGTCAGATCACGTGACATAGAGCTTGAAGATGAAAATAATACAGGCGATTCCACAAATACACCCATAGTAAGCCTTAACAGTACTGCCGCCGATAGAGAGTTACTTGAAGAAATTAAAGCTGAAAAGAGAAGAATTAAAGCTGAAATTAATGAACAAAATCAAGAAAAACTTAACTCATTCTACAATAAGTTCTGGGGAATCTTTTCAGTTGTCGCATTCTTTGGAGTTATCATATTCTGCAAAGATGAGAAAAAATAAATAAATATATGTAAAAAAAATCCAACATTTTTTAAATATACAAACAAATATATATATTAAACATACCTTATAACTATGCAATTCATGCATGAAGAGCATTATTTACATTTTATATTGCAATTTTATTCTTCATTTTCAATTTTTTGTCGAAGAAGCTCTATATAGCAATTCATATCTACCAAATCAGGAGGTATATCATATTCATTTAATAATTCTTGAAGTGATGAACCATCATTCAATATTTCTTGCAAAAGATCAACTTGATAATTTTCATCGATTAATTTGCCAACAACAATGAACGAACAAAATGATTCATAGTTTGATGTTGATTCCACAAACTGTTGCAGTAAATTTAGTAGATTTTCATCGAAAATGAATGAAATTCTCAAATCTTTGGAAGCTTTCGCTAGGAACACTACAAATGATCGCTGAACTGAAAAGCTGGACTCAGTTACAACTTCAAACACTCCATTTTCTTTCAGAATCTTTAACATTTCCTGATTTAGATTTCTTCCAAGAATCTCATAGCATTTTGAAGCAGCATCACTTTGATCTATTTTAATACATTCTATAATCGAGTTTAAAATGTTCTGATCTACTGAATCAATTACATTTCCTAATAAAAAAGCACAATTATTTCTCATCTCTTGGTCATCAGAAGTTAAGTTGTTAAGAAGCATTTCTCGTTTTGAAGGATCATTTTCGTAGTCTACGCGAACTAATGAAGACCATTTTGAAACAGAATACAGCGATTCAAAACCAATTTTGGAAAATTCATCAATAGGATCTTGAGAAATCTGCCATGCAATACTGATAAGTTCTTGTGCATTACCATTCGGAAATCCACATACTACAGAAATCATCCAATAAAATGTTTCTTTTAAAACATAGTCATCTGTCTGAAATGTCATGAATAAATTCATTATCGCAGAATTAGATAGAATGTTGCGAAAGTATTCAGAGTTTAAATATAAGTTCCCTAAGATTAACATAATTCTTTCAAGAGTCCCAGCATCAAGCTGGCTAATTACACTTGCGCAGTAATTGAAGAACTGCAGAAAATCCAATTTAAGAATGATGTCTGAAACTTCATTAAAATTAGAAGAAATGCATGACAAAATCTTTGCAGTTAAAGGAATATAATCAAAATTTGAGCATTTTCCAATAAGTATCGAGATTTCGTCCCCATTCAATACTTTAACATATTGAAAAAGATCATCAGATGATAATTTGTTCATTAGGTTATTGAATTCTACCGAAAATTCACTATCAATTAACTTTCCTGCCGTTATATCTGATATAGCTTTATGTATCATGGTAATTTCTTCACCCTGAATGAAATCTTGCTTCGTATCTATCTCATCCATTGCATGAAAATGAAATATAGTAGTATATCTAGTTGGCATGCATTATCGATAATTGGATAATCGAATTAACTCTTCTAACCTATCAGGTCATGATTTTTTTGAAGGTTTTCTCTCCCAAGAACATCATTTCCATTTTAACTATAATTAAAAATAATGTAATTTCTTTCGCGATAAAAAATTAGAGAAAGTTCTGAAATGATTTAAATGAATTCAATTTTACATAACTTTACAAGGGATATTTTTTTGCGATGATCGATTCACCTTTCCGCATTGCAACGATTGGCGAGTCATCAGTTGGAAAGACATCAATTATCAGAATTGTTAGTGGTGATAAATTTGATGCAACAGAATCAACAACGGCTGGCGTAGATTTCGGTCAAATTATTAAAAAGGTAGATGGAAAAACTGCCACTCTAGAAATCTGGGATACTGCTGGACAGGAAAGGTTTAGATCTCTTGTTCCAGTATATTGCCGTAATGTCAACGCAGCTCTTGCTGTCTTCGATATCAGCGCACCAGAATCATTTGCCAAACTTGGCTCTTGGATTGAATTATTCAAGTCTCTTGGTGATGATAGAAGATTGGTTTTCATTGTTGCAAATAAATTAGACTTGTTAAACGAGAATTCTGTTGATCTCGAAAAAGCAAAAGAATGGGCACAGGAACGAAATTACATGTTCTTCCAAGTATCTGCTAAAACAGGACAAGGCTTAGATGAAATGATACAGGCGGTAATACACTCCTTATTCGAAGCATTTCCTGGACACAATGATATTTCTGGTATTCAAGTTGAATATGATGCTGAAAAGAAGAAGAAGAACTGTTCTTGCTAATGGTTTTTTCATTTTATTGTTTTAAAGAAATCATAGTATACTCTATTCTTAACCAATTGATATATTTCCTAGTTCATATCAATTTTTTTACTAATAATTAACTGTCATTTTTTTGATAAATTTCTGTTTCAATTAGAAAATTTCAGATCGGCTTTTTACTGTTTTTGAGCTCATTAGCCTAGAAAGTTCGAAAAAGGAAAATGAATGCCAATTTTACAATAGTGAGAAATTTGTTTTGCACTTGTTTAATAAAACAGGCCAAAAATATATGAAAATGGTTTTTCGAATGTAATATTTAACAATAGAAGAGAATAATATAACAAACTTAAACATTATTTAAAGGAAGTTGTTGATATTAGTTTTCCAATTAGGATCATAATCAATATCAACTCTATCATCGCCAAAGAAGTCATTTATGCAAATATTTGTAATGTTTGAAGGCTCATGTGAAAGATATTGCAATTTATGTTCTCTAGGCATTGTGTATGGAAGCAAAAGAATAGGTTCTTTGTTTTCAAGATGTGGCATGGCGAAAATTCCTATGTAACCACGGCCATAAATGGCTGAAAAACAAAGTTGATCTTTTGTATAAACAGTAACTTGTCTTTGAGCAACTGTTTTACCATTTTTGTATATTGAATATCTTGCTTTCGAATTTCTGGTCATATACTCAACATTTATATAATTTTGTTCTCCATATTCTTTAGCTTCATCATATAGGAATACAAATGTTGAGTTAGTTATATTACCGCACAAATTAAGAGACCATTTCTTTCTATATCTTTGGGAATTGTATTCTGCTGTTCCATCTTCTTTGAAATTAATCGAGTTTTCTGTAATTTCGGCTTGATACACAGACCAAGATTTCGCAGAATCGTTTTTGAATGTTAAACATTCCTTTTCAGATCGTGATAATGCTCTGGAAATCAGAAAAGAAAACATTCGAAATTTTTGACATTTATTTTTGTTTGAAATTATGTATCAACTCCTTCCAAATAAAGGCAATTCCTAAATACCAAATGGACTGAAAAGACTTATACAGTTGTTAAGTTATCTTTAGGTTGGTTTTTCGCAGTATAAACCCAGATTCAATATAGAATTTGAAATTTTCCATCACATACACCATATATTCATACCAAAAGATATCAAACAAACTTATATAGATACATTTTCCTATACGAACAACAAATTTAAATAGTTTTTAAATTTTTTAATGAAATAACACATATACCATCTGACCCTCCAACTGCATGCTTGCTTTTTGAAGGAATATTCATATTGCAAGAGATTATCCTTCTATTTTGAGTACAAAGAAATTTGTAAATTCTCCTTTTGTTTTGATTAAGGATAATTTCTAAGTTCATTGAACTCTGTTAAAACTATGAATGTGTTGTAATACATTTTGATCATTTAATAACTTCATCAATCATAACCAATTTAATTTATTCATTATTTGGATTGATTTCCTTACTATTCGTCCAATTAGAGTATACCAAGATTAATTTGAAGCAACCCGGCTTATTCACCTCGATTCCAGGCAATTTTTGAAATTTGTTTTACAATCTCGAAAGCTAATTTTTCCACATAGGCCAACACATACTGCATCACTATCAAAACAGACATATCATCGATCGTGAAAGCGAAGAAAAAAAATGGCTTATTACGATAGTATTGGATTCCATCACACCTCGCACAAAATAATCTACATATACTAACATGGTATTATCATTGAAAAAATGGCCTAAGGAATAATGCATTCAAAATGTTCTATCGTCGACGTTTTATTTAATTTTTTTCAAGATTTGGCGGGATGGATCAAAGTGTATCTGATTTACATATTAAAGAAACTGCGGACAAGATAATTAAAGATCTGCAGGATGCTACAAATGAAATACGCAGGCTTCAGGAGGAGCTTCGCGTCCTTCAAAACACGAAAAATTTATCTATCATCCACTTAGCTCAATACAAAAACGATTACGATACATTACATGAATTGTATCGTAAATATAAGGAGTATTTAACCTACGGAGGCCAGATTCATCCTCCAATTCAACAGCAACAGCCGCCGGTTCAAGTTCCGATGCAAATGATGGGCCAACAAATGAAGAATTCACAGCCCATTCAACAAGTTCCACAGCAAATGTCAATGCAACAAGCAAAACCAAATATCGTTAAATCTGAAATTCAAGAATCCCAGCCAATGCAACAGATGCAAAGCCAATATATCGAGGATTCCTCTGCTTCTCATCAACCTCATATTCAGCAATCTACACCAAAGAAGCAGGAAGACACCTCAGCCTTAACCCAGGCCAACCCATCCTATACTATTCATGCAAACGATCCTGCATACAACTCCGATCATATGAAGCTTAAGTATGCTCTCAGTACCAACGCTGTTGTTTGTTCCGTTGCATTCAATAGCGATGGCTCGAAATTCGCATTTACAAATACCAAGACTATTTTCGTTATTAATACAGATAATGGATCAATATTCACTAAAATTAATATGCTCTATGATCCGAATATAAACGATTTTAATCCACGTTGTCTTTGCTTTACACCAGACAGCCGCTACATTGTTCTTGGCAATGATGAGTCCAACATTTTAGTATTCAGCGTTGCGACTGGCCAACACGTTAAAACATTAAAGCAACATACGAGAAAGATATCATCGATTATCTTTACTAACGAGAACAAATACATGGTTACAGCTGGCTACGATTGCTTGATATGCGTTTGGAATTTAGAAGACTTCTCTCTTGTCAATAAGATCGTCAACCAAACGGATCAGCCAGACGATATGATAGTTGCCATTGCTGTTGACTCCGATAAAACATTCATCGCTGTTGGCTTCATGAAAGGCAACATTGGAGTTTACGATGTCAATTTCAAGGAACCAATGCTACCGTTCAAGGCCCACGATGGTAATATCATGAATATTGCTATCTCCCCATTCGATGGAAGTATCGCTACAGGCGCAGGAACAGCTGGTGGAGATTCTTCGATTAAGATTTGGGGTTTGTCCACACGCCTTACCCAGAAGAACACTCTTTCCGGACACAGCAACCTCGTACTTGCTCTCGCGTTCAAGCACGACGGTCCTCTCCTTCTTTCCGGATCTAAGGATGAGAAGGTCTGTGGTTGGGACTACAAGAAGGGAACAATGCTCTTCGACATAAGCGCACACAAGAATACAGTCTTTTCAATTGCTCACCATCCGTCAAAGAACATTTTCCTCAGCTGCTCCGGCGAGGGCCTCGTTTGCGTTTGGGAATACGGACTCTAATTTATCTGTTATATACTTGATTGTTAATATTTACCTCTCTAATCGTTTATATTTTTTTAGATTTTTATAATTAAAAGAATAAGAATCAGCAATTTACTTTTTTTTCATCATCATAAAGATAATACAACAAAACTACAATGTAAATCAACTAATTTTTATTTATTTCATCTCCAAATTTGAAAGTTGAGTTAAAATTTTTGCTGAACTGCCTTTTTAAACTAAATCTGAAGCAAAATATTCAATAATCTCTTTCCAAAAATTGTTTCATTGACGTACTCATATTTTTTACAAAGACGTTAGTAAAATTTACAAGAATTTTTTTATAGGAAAAATATGATGTTTGAAATGGATTCGGATTCTGATGATGAAACTTTTGGTTTAACTAAGCCAAAAGTTATCGAACAACGGAATGATCCGAAGAAACAGCCGAGAAGAGAAAAGTTTTTTGATCATACAGATGAAAATAATTTTTTCCCCGATATTAATCAAGTTTTACAAAAACTCGATACAAATGAATGCATCAAGCCAGCAAAAATCTTACGAAATCCATTTAAGCAAGAATTAAAAGCTTCAAATCAAAGATTAGCTCAAATTAAAAGAGGAGTTCCTCTTATGAATATAATACCTCACGAACTTACTATCTATCCACTCCTTGAAGAAAAACTAAAATATAATGGCGTGGCTGATGTAATCTCAGAATTACCTCAAGATTATAAGGCAGGATTGATTAAAAAAGTTGATTTTGTAATACCAGTACGTGATAAGCAAGTCAGACCACCTCCGTTATCAGCTAGAATTAATACAGCAGACCAAATAACAAAGCGAATTCAAAGGTTGATAACTAAAGGTGATAGATTAGCACTTAAATATCATAATGAAGTTATATCCAATATAAATCACGCAAATCAACGAAGAGCGCGTGTAATGAAGCAATTTAATTCAGATTTAAACAAATATGGATTTAGAGAAGCATCTAGGAGAGCTCAGAGAGCATCACAGAAGAGTAGACTAAGAATTATATCTAACCATCCTTGGTGGCCTGAGTTTATTGATTATGCTTTTTCAAATTCTGTTACTTCAGAAGAAAACCAATTAATCCATGATATTGCTGAAACAGAAAACCTGAATGGACCTAAGCTAATGGGATTCATCAAGGACATCCTTGAAAATTACCAAAATCCATATAGAAGTATGGAACTTATCAGATGGATTAATAATAGATGCAAGATAATTGATGATAATGTCTTAAGCATTATGAACGACCAAGGAATGTTTTCTCCAGAATCTTCCAAAGGTCACGGTATTCGAAGAATGAACTCTGTTATTTATAATTAAATGTTTGTATTCTTTTTATTATAGCTTTTTTAACTCTACATTGAACCAAAATGAATCCTATGAATTGCGGCTTACAAGTTCATATATCAATTACAACGAATTTTAGAGATTTTCAGTTTATTGAACCCCAAGTTTGATCCGCGATTAAACAAATCATTAGACGCATTGAATGCTTATATTCAAGCACATGTAATAGCTCAGATGCTATCTATTCGAACGTCATCATTATTCAAAGTTCAAGATTTTTCATATATTTAAGGCTTTTCTAACATGAATTCTTAATGTGCGCTCAAAGGATACAAACGAAATTAAATTCCGATCGAACTAACTGAAATGTAATCAACGATAAAAGTGCAGATTTTTAGCTATGTGTAAAGAGGCAGACGACCAGGTTCCTGAGAAGAAAGTAGCAAATCCAAATGCTCCACCAGAGCCAGCTGAACCTACACCAATTCCACAAGACGCAATGGAAACTCCAGAGCATAAAACGAATTTTGATCATACAGCTCCAACAATTGCAAACGCGGAAACATTCTCTGACAAGGATTTATCATCTACTGTTTCAGTATAACCACTTTAGTTTTGCTAAAACTCATAATTTATCCACTAGTGTGGACGAATTCGCGGTAGTTACTCACATTAATTTTAATAAAATACTATTTATTTATTAGCATGCAAATCTGTGCTATTTCTAGAACTCAATGTAATGAAATTTTTTAATCTTGAAATGTAATACAAAATATAGTTTACATATTTTCATATTCTCTTTTACATATAGAAAATTACAATTCCGAACTCAAAAGAAGAAATTAAAAGAAATTATTTTCATTTTCTTCTATTTCAAAGATATAACGGTTAAACTCACAATCACTTGATATATTCTCAATTATATGATTCATGAGACTAAATATATTAACTATTTGCAGTAAAAAATAGAAAAATCATAATTGTCAATGAACAAATATGTCTATCTGACTATAAAAATGGATTTTTATTATGCAAAAATACAATATCCACAAAGTTATGAAATAATATAAGTGGAAAATGATAATAATAACTAATATTATTTTTGATTTTTGGAGATTACATTTGCTTAATATTAAAACCTTAAATGACTAAACATTATCTTTTTTATTATTATAAAAGAGATTCAACTAGTTGAGATGAAGTGGTTGTATCAAACTTACGTGGGCATTTCCTCCATACAATGATGAAAACAACGACAAGAACAACTATAAGACAAGATAAAGATATGATTATGATGAGAGCAATGTTGACACGTTTCTTATAATGGCATGCATTTGTTGATTCCAAGTGAGTCAAGCCAGCGAATGTCTTAGATTTCTTCAAGTACTGTTTGTCGACATAAACAGTGACTTGTTTATCAAATTCAGTCATTGATTCTCCATTTACTGGTTCAATTCCACAGTAAGTTATTTTAGTAAGATTTTCACATTCATCGAATGTTTTCTCTTTGATAGAATTGACATTTTGAGTGAAAAACACTTCATACAATTTTGTACATTTTGCAAAAGCATTTTCAGAAATTCCTTCTTTAATTTGTCCGTAAATTGTAACTTTCTTCAATGAGTAGCAATTATAGAAAGCCATACTTTCAATTGATGTAACATTCATTGGAATTTCAATCTCAGCCAAATTGTGGCAATCTTTAAATGATGTTTTCCTTATTACACTCAAATTAGAAGGTAAAATTATTTTCTCAATTCCAGAATACTCGAAACATCCAGAATAAATAAACTGTGTGTGATTAGAGATGGTGACACTCTTCAAATGATTGCAGCCAGAGAACAATCCGTATGCAAGGACTTTGAGATTAGGAAGAACAACTGATGTCAATGATACACATCTCTGGAAACAATAATTATCTATTCTATGCAAATTTGTCAAATCAACTTCAGAAAGACTCGAGCAGTCAGAGAAACAACTCTCTGATAATATTGTTAATGATTTTGGAAAGTTCATCTTAGCCAAACTTGTGCAATGAGAGAAAGCCTTCTTTAAAATAATCTTGAGTCCTTCGCCAACAACAACTTCAGTTAATTGGTCACAGTATTCGAATGTTGATGGATGGATTGTATCAATGGATCCAGGGATTGTTATCCTCTTTAATGAGCTGTTGAAGAAAACTGTTGGTTCAATGAATGTAACAGTGTTTGGAATATTAACTTCTTCAATGTTTTTGTTCTGATAGAAGGAATAACTCGAAATTGTTTCTGTTCCTTCTGGAATTTCGACTTTCTTCAGACCGTATGGATAAACCTTTAATGATGTCTTGTTCTTGTTCATCAAACATCCATTGGATGAAACAGCAAAGTTCTTATTATCTGGATCAACTTTGAACTCTGTCAATTTCAAGCAATCGCAGAATGCAGATGGTTTGATTTCCGCTGTGGTGTTGGGGATGGTGAAGGATTGAAGAGAATTGCAATATCTGAATGCGAAAATCTTGATTTTAGTAAGTTGAGGGAATTTGACTGTTGTAAGTGAAGCGCAGTTCTGGAAACTATATCTATCAATTGTGCGGACACTGCTGCCTTCGATTTCTTTGAGTTTTGTGCAATCTTTGAATGTTTGATACGAAATCTTAAGAACAGAGTCGGAAAGAGTTACTTTTTCAAGACTTACATCACCTTCGAATGTGTTATTTCCTGTTTCTTGGATTCTGTTCGGAAATACAAATTCATATAAGGAAACACAGTTAGCAAAAGCTCTTTCTCCAATTGTCCAGAGACTGTTAGGAAGAGTAGTAACAGATGTAAGTGATGAACAGTTGAAAAATGCTTGAGAACGGATTGCCTTCAATGAATCACCGAAATTAACGGTTTTGAGCTTTGTGCAGTAGATGAAAGCATCTGTATCGATGGTCTTGACCTTGTTTAGGTTGATCTCTTCAAGGGACTTGCACATTAAGAAAGATCTTCTCTCAATTATTTCAACTGAGTCAGGGATTGTAATTTGGGAAAGGGAATCGCAGTTGGAGAAAGCCATTAAACTGATATTCTTCAAGTTCTTCGGAAGTTGGATTGATTTCAAAGAAGAACAGCTACCGAAGGCCATAGGGCCAAGTTCAAAGGCATCGGATGTTAAGTTGTCTTGGAATTCGCATGATTCGAGGTTTTCACATTGGTAAAATGCCTTTTCGCCAATTTTGGTTAAAAAGCCGGAGAATGAAACAGATTCTAAGCGTGTGCATCCTTCAAAAACATTACTTGATATTTCTTGAAGAGTTGATGGGAATGTTATTGTAACCAAAGAATAACATTTCATAAAAGCTTCCTCTTCGATTTTAGTAAGAGTTGATGTAATGGTTACAGTCTCGAGTTTTTTGGAACCCGAAAATGCGGCTTTAGGAATGATGGAAACCTTATCAGAGATTTCTAGAGATTTGAAATCTTTATTTGGAAAAAGTTGTGTGATTTCGGAGGGATCAAACGTTTCTTCGTCGCCGAATATCTTTAGGGTTTGTCCGTCTTTTTCCATTTTACTGCAAGCTAGAGTAAGAAATAGGAACATTCGAAACAATCAGAAAAATAAGAAACCTTGTAAAGTTTTTATTTTGAATGTAATGCATTAACATTGTTTCATTAATTTCCTTTTAAAAACATTTCAAAATTTCAGATCATCGAAATTGAAAGGCTTTTGATTTCCGGAACAACGATTTTTTATGGTTTCTGAAGATACGAAAATACGTGCAATGTTTTATAGAAATTTTGTAATAAACAGAAATTCATCAAAAGTGACAGCTCTCAATTTTTTGACATTTGTAAATTCTAAATTGAATGAGAAAAATGAAATAATACTAAGCATAATACAATATTCTAGATTTAATTATAATTAGGAAAAAGTTAGTTTTTAGAGTACTTTTCATAGGCATATAGAATGAAATCTTCTGAAAAATAATATCACATAAACTCATATTATTTTCTAATATATAACTATTTTATATAAAAATCAAATTCAATGATCTTAAAAGCGAAGGATAAACCTCAAAATTTACGAATATAATGAGTGGGAATATAATGCTTATCTATCATAAAACCATATGAAATATCAATTTTTGCTTTACGCCTAATTTTTGACGACAATTAGCAAAAAATGTTAAATGTTAACACTCAGTCCATTTGAATATGAAAAATAAAATTGACTTTGATTAAATGTTTTTATTTATCATGCAATTCTTCTTGCGACCAAAGATTTGACTAAAATTTCAAAAAATAAGATAGCTTAAAAAATAATATACGGTAGTGTTTACTAATAGATGAATAGTATATAAATTCTATTAAAATGGATTTGATCCAAAAAAATATATAAAATTTGATCATAAATAAAATCGTTTTAAATTACTTCTTCATTTAAATTATAACAATTATTTTTGGTTTTATATTTTTTTGGATCAAATCCATTTTAATAGAATTTATATACTATTCATCTATTAGTAAACACTACCGTATATTATTTTTTAAGCTATCTTATTTTTTGAACTTTTATTCAAATCTTTGGTCGCAAGAAGAATTGCATGATAAATAAAAACATTTAATCAAAGTCAATTTTATTTTTCATATTCAAATGGACTGAGTGTTATCATTTAACATTTTTTGCTAATTGTCGTCAAAAATTAGGCGTAAAGCAAAAATTGATATTTCATATGGTTTTATGATAGATAAGCATTATATTCCCACTCATTATATTCGTAAATTTTGAGGTTTATCCTTCGCTTTTAAGATCATTGAATTTGATTTTTATATAAAATAGTTATATATTAGAAAATAATATGAGTTTATGTGATATTATTTTTCAGAAGATTTTGTGTTCTTCTTCAAAATTTTATTTTTTTATTAAAAAGAATCTTTACAACATATACATTTACTTTAATTAATATTTAAAAACGTGCTCTATCAAAAGTTCCAAAAATTCAATATTTTAGCTTTTCTGAGGTGTCACTTTTGATGGATTTCTGTTTACAACAATTTCATAAAAAGAAAAGACATTTCCCAAATAAGATATTAAACCACATTCGATACAGTATGAAATTCATCACACGCAATGATTTTCAACTTGATCTCAATGAATATTCATTCTACTATCAACGATGTAGCCTCAATACTAGATATTGAGATAAAAATCAATAAGATAATCATGAAAAGAGATATCAGTATGCCTTTCTTGTTCTTTATTTTGGAATATTTGGGTTCATATGATTATGCAAAGTATAAAAATAGCCTGTGAAGAGATTTGATCAAAATTATTCGATTTTTTAAAAGAAAAACAATGAAATATTCTATGTATAAATATCTTTATAAATATAATCATATAATATACTATCAATAATATTTAAATTACGGGAGTTCTCTGCAGTGATCGAGATATCCTGCAACACGACTCCTGAATCTAGTAAGTTTAACAAGAGATTCATTTTCCATGAAGTTAATCTTGACTGGCTGGTTATTATAAACAAATCTGATGTACAACTGCTCATTCTGATCTTCCCAGATCTGAGTGACCATATAAGAGCGGAAAGGTGACCAATGGGGGTTATCGTAGCCAAGGAGTGTAAGAGCAGCAACAATTGACACATCGTGAGCGCTGAGAAGGGCAAACTTGTAATTGTTCTTTCCGGCCAAACGGTTATCAACAATACGGAGGATTTCGCGCATAATGGCTGAACCGGCAACTCCTCTTGCGTATTTGAAGAATCCGTGCGAATAAAATTCGACGGCTTTCATTCCGTAAGTAAGAACGGTATCATTAACTAGGTCTGGAAGCTGGTGTGATGTGCATGCAATTGTGGCCATCCAATCTCCAATAAACATCCATGTTGCCTCAGATTTGTAGAAATCAATGTTTACAGCGTCTGCAAGAGGCTTAAGGTATGGAGTAGCTTCGTTCTTATGCTGTAAATAGTCATATGTTTTGACCCAATTGTCCCAGGCTTGCTTAAGATCTTTGCATTGAGAAGTTTGAGGGTGAAGCATCTCGAGAGTAGCGTGACCTGTTTCTATTGTGACCATTTCATCGGGAGTGGCAGCTGGATATAAGCCATTCATGAAAGAAATTGCAGATCTAACGCATCTATCGACTTCTGATGATCTAACGTAGATTTGTGTTGGATCATAGTATTCCGGTAAGAATTTAAGCTGATTTACGTATATTTTTCTGAAAAATGAACCAAGTTGGTAGTGTTGTCTCATTCCATCTGTAATTAAGCCTCCTGGTGGGCATGATGGCTTGAATCTAAGTGTAGTAGGATCTAATTTCTGATGAAAACGTCTGAAAATGCTTCCACCGGCAGCTTGATACCTTGGAGCCCAAGCATGTTGATTATCATCATCGCAATACCAGTCTTCTGTCTCATTTTGCGAATAAGAATCGATTGGACTGCGTGCACCGTGACGAGTCAACACAATCATCTGTTTTAGAGTCATATTTGGCAGAGGGTTCACTGCTTCTACTTTTTCATCACCAAGAGGAACAGGTGATACACATGGGAAATCTATAGTAACACCTAATTTTGTAGTATAGGCAAGTAAAGACAGTAAAACTCCAAACATTAGGTTAAAAAAAAACCAAAAACGATAAAAACGATAAAGATAATTGAGTATCATCGTTTTCGATAAGATTGAAATCCTTCTGAAAAGGCTTGCAAGAAGTTTTTATTTTACTATCATCCAATGATTGCAGAATCCAAATTAAATTTCCTGAATTTGGATATCAATTGAATTTTGATGACGGTATCAGCAAAATCTCATGTAACCTATATAAATACGATTATTTTTGATAATACATTAGTTTTCACCATTGCGTAATACGCTACATGATATTTTCATCTAGAAATCTTATGAAATCTACCATGAATGCATTCTATCAATGCACTTTAATTTGTCTACTATTTATATATTTCATTTTCCTATTCTTACTCAATCAAATATGTTTTATCTTGTTTCATTATTAAGACCACCAATAAGCCCTCAAGTGAATCAAAAAGTATATATAGATATCATACTGATTTGAATGCTATACTATATCAAACAAATGCCTTCTTGCTTGCTAGAACATTAAAGGAAAAACATCTTTTCATGATTCAATATATTAAAAAAGCTATGCTCATTCAAAGGTATAACACCGACATTGATTGATAAGATAAGAATGTATGAATAGATCTTTATATTACAGAAAATAATGGTCTCATACTCGTTCTTTATGCAGCAATGCAGTGAAATTGAAATGCAATATGGACAATAACTTTAGAATAGAATGTTAGCGATAAAGTGAAATATTTGTAATATTCTAACTTACCACTTCTGTTGTAAACGAAAACAATAAAAACGGTTTGACAGTAAAGTGACACTTTACATAGCAAAAAAATAGAGCCTTACTTTTGAGATACTTGAGATTGAAACTGAATCTTATGAGGCGGTGATCTTGAATCACTACCTCATAAGGTTCAGTTTCATATAAAATTTGTTGCAATTTGTTATTCTTTTGCAATTATTTCTTATAAGATTTTACATCTTTTAGCGGGGAATGTTTGTTATCATGTATATATTATAAATATCTACACGATAACGAACATTCCTCGCTAAATTGCTGAGAAACTTTGAGGAAATGTCGAACAATTTCCTCAAAGTTTCTCAGATTTATATAGATCACTAGAGTCCCCTAGGCACTGATTCTGGTTCAGTACCTAGGAGGCTCTAGTTCTCTAACGAACTGATAAAATGTTTTTAAATTTTTGGATATTGCTACCTGTGAAGCACTGACTTCAAGTCAGTACCTCACAGGTAGCAATTACATTGAAAGATGGGAGAAACTTTGTCCGAATGTTAAACTATTCTGACAAAGTTTCTCCCATTTGTAGTGGAGATGGAAGGCTTTGAGGTATATTATATTAATGTATACCCCAAAGCCTTCCATCTCCACTTGAAAGTTCCAAAACTTTGGGTTAATAGTTTGCAATTAACCCAAAGTTTTGGAACCTTCTAGAAGGAATTGCAGGGTAAGAGGTACATATTCATACTATGTACCTCTTACCCTCCAATTCCTTCCTTAACATAAACAAATTTGGAGTTAATTGTTTGCAATTAACTCCGGGTTTGTTGACCTCCAAATGAAAATGAAAGGGTAAGAGGTATATAGTGACCCTATATGCCTCTTACCCTTTCATTCTCATTAATTATGGGAGAAACTTTGGCCGAATGTTAAATTATTCGACCAAAGTTTCTCCCATTTTTTGAAGGGATTGGAGGCTATGAGATACTGATGCAATGTCAGTACCTCATGGCCTCCAATTCCATCCTGAAACTGATCAAAGTGGACCTTACATGCATTTGAAATTTGGCATGTAAAGTCCACTTTTTGAGAGAGGATTTGACGTAGTCAAATCCTCTTTTTCGTTTACGAGACTTCTAACTTTAGAATTAAGACTTTTTTATTGGAAAAAAGAAAGAGAAGTTAATGAAAAATATCTGAGGACCAGCAATATATTTTTAACTTAAACATTGAAAAATTAACAACATAGAAAAATAATTTAATATGACATTGGCTTAAAGTTCTTGAAATTGTTCTTGTAGAAGCGAAGTCCTGCCATAGAATCATCGCGGCAGAAGACACCATCAACTTCTGCGTGTAACAAGTAGTTTCTTGCGATAGACATTGGCAAACCAGTCTTCTTTGACATGAGAAGTGGTGTAGTATATTCTCCCTCGTCGATTTTGCTCAAAATATCTGTTAAAACCGCTTGGTATGTCTTATTTGCGAGAATTACGACAGTTACGCCTTCAATCGTCTCAACCTTGACTTTGTACTGTCTCCTTTGAAGGTGCTTGATGGCGTCGGCAAGATCGTTCGGAGAAACGTAATCGGTACCTAATTTTCTGTTGAAAATGCAAAAAGCCTCTGCAACTGAAAGAACGCCGCCTTTGACCTCAAGAACCTTTGAGATATCTGTAGCGAATCGAAGGGCAAGTCTTTCTGAGAATTGGCCACCGGATTTTTCAATTGTTGAATCTGTGACACCGAGAGCGGCGTAGACTTCATCTAAGTCGCTCTTGGAGTCGGAGTCTCCTTTGCGCTTAAGCTCTTGGGCAAAGTTAAGTAATTGCTGTGCTGATTCTTTAAGTGATTGAATATCTGCGAGAGAACTGCTAAGTTGGGCATTCTTTTGATCAATATCATTTTGCTCAATCTGCTTGGCAGCTGCAATACCACGGAATTCGCGGCTTGCGCTCTTTGTAGAAATCTTTTTGACAATTCTCTTTGATGAGCCAGAACTTGAGCTTTGTGATGTGGATAATCTTGCTGCGAGGTCAGTCAAGTCGAATTTGAGAGCTTGCATTGAAAAATCTTCGCCAGAAGCTGATTTAAATTTTGAAAATGCGAGAGCATTAGCATCGGCTGGGTGTGCAGCAGTTGTAAATTGTCCAAGTTCACTGAGATCGAATTCTAATGCAATTGGATTTTGATAAACGTTGAAAATAAGTCTTTTATTTGTTAATGTTAAAACTCCGATTTCTCCATAGCGAATACGAGGGATTGTAAGCGAAAAGTTTGGATATTGCTTTGTAATAATCTCATCAATAAGCATTGGAACGCCGCGCTGATCGCAAGTAACTTGTTTCCATGAACTCATCTTTTTTCTCACTGTCACCTTTTTTTACAATTAGTGACAATCCCGGTGAAACTTTTTTGAGTTTTATTACATTCGATTTATCAACATCCTTATAACATGTATCATTATAAAACATTTGTCACTTCTATTTTAATCTTATTCCAAAAGAACTTCAATGAAGAATTAATTAACTGAGGTTATTCTATTGAGTATCATATACATAAGTATATCTAGGAAAAATAATAGTATATCTCAATAATCAAATATACGTCAATGGTTTTAATATTTAAACAGAGTAATTATTAGCAATTTTTTCCATGGTTGGGGCCCAAAGCATTGGGTCAATGTTTGTTAAGTCAAGATTCATGATCATATCATAAACAACATTATCATTTGTATTTCTTTCAATATTTACACGCTGTTGGGTAATTTCAGCGTACATTGTTCTGAAAGCTTCTTCCATATCAGCAACCTCTTTATCAAGAGCTTGCATCTCGCTTTCAATTTCAAGATCTCTCTTCATAAGTGCAATTTCATTTCTTGCTGTGTTGATTGTACCAATACTCAATCTCTTCTTATTTGGCGATACTGAGTCAAGCTTCCTAAGGTATTTGTTATCCTCATCAACTTCTTCCTCAAATGAGCAATCTGAATCATCGAAATCTTGGCCCTGATTCTTGGCTGTATTGAGAGCAGCTTGAAATGTTGCCCACTCAGCATCACTTGATGAATTAAGTGGTGAATTGATTGGACTGTTGTTCTCTTTTGGATTCAATAATGAATTCATACTAACTCTGCGACCGAAAACCTTCGAGCGGTCGTTAGTTGGCAATGAAAAACGAGCTCTCCTCCTTTTATCTGGGCTCGTCAATGTGTTAGGGTTTGTGTTCTCGATCATTTTGGAATGATTTTATAGTTTTAAACGTACGGTATTTAAATTCTATCGGTAGAGATTTTATAACACATCACATTATAATACTATTTAGAATCAAGAAATATAAATATTTCTTCAAATATTTTTTGAAAATATTCATTATTTGTGCAAATTCTGAATTGAAATTATGAAACTTCTTCATGATGAATTAAATAATATGGAATTAAACATATATAGCATCTGAAGTGATGATATTCCACGCTAAATATAGCAAATAATTTAAAATTGAAAAGTAAATCACAACTAATATTTTTTATAAATAAAAAAAACAAACAATTATAAATTAAAAATACTGGATACTAGATGCGTAATCAAGGATTTTTCTAACTCTTGGATCATTGCATTTTATGTCTTTATAAGGAGGTCTCTTTGTAATCTTTGGTGTTCTGTTGTAACTTGAATACATAAAATCAACAAAACTCATAAATATGCTCAACCTAGTATAAACAGTCTGGCAATTTGCGTCTTTAATTTCAGAATCCTCAACAACAGGAGACAAAGCCAAATCAAGGCAATGTCGAACTGAAAAGTCTTGCTGATCATCTGTCAATTTGCAGAACTCAAAGATAAAGATAACATTACTCTTGAAAATGGACAAATCCATTGTTTGACAGAAAATTTGAGAGACCAAATTTGCCAATTCTGGTGAAGTTCTGAATTTCTCAAGTTTAATGATTTCTGTCATGTTTGAGAACGGTCAGGCGATTAAAGATTGTGTTTCCTACTGACCCGTCCTTGTTGACAATTGAAACGATAAGGTCAAAGAGATCATGAGGAGCTGGAATAATTCTCGATACGTTGAAAGCAATCTTGTTTAATGCGAACATGCATAGTTCTTCTGCATAAGGAATAGGATTATCAACTCTTTCTACTAATAATAAAAGAGTTTCGAAGATTGATGAAACAAACATTGGATCTGCAACATTTGCGGACATCATTAAAGCGGCTTCTTTTAGTTCTTCAACTGTAAATTGTGGTCCTGGGTGTAAATATCTGACTTCTTCTTTCTCTTCTTCTTCATATTCTGATTCTTGATCATCTTTCTGCTGCTTGTCATCTCCAGTTGTTTCTGCAAAGATGGTTGGTCTCTTGTCAACTTTTTCTTTATCTTCTTGCTTATTTTGGGAATTAATAATATCATTTGGAGCAAATTTCGCGGTATTTTGCTCTGATCCAGTCTTCTTATCATTATTTTGTGTATTTTGTTCATTATTGTCGGATTTCGGAACATTATTATTTGAGATATCAGAATTTTCTTCTGAATTCTTTGGATTTTCTTCATTTAGATTACTTGTATTATCTTTTGGTGCTTTATTTTCTTCTGAATTTTTATTATTTTCTTCTATTGTTTTTGTTTCGAAATTATCTTGACTTTCGTCTTTCAAATCAAAGGCTGATGGGCTTTTATGGGTTTCTTGTGATGAAAAAGAACTTCTATCTGATTTTGAATCTACCGAATTAAAATTATTCAATTCTTCGTTATTTGAGCCATTATCGTCAGTTGCATTTGATACCTTTGGTTTCTTCTTACCCTTCTTAGCCTTCGGTTTATTGAAATCTTTAGGGTAAAGTTTCTCATGTCCGAAATCTTCCGGAAGTTTTGCATTTGGACTCATAATGAACATGTTATCCATCAGATACTTGGCCAGTGTCTTCCATACTTCCACTGGTTTGTTACTTATCTGTGCAAGTTTCTTCACAAGTTTGAAATAACTCAAACAGTTGCCATTTCGAGCGTATTCCACGAAAGAAAGTATAATAGGTTCGATCTTAATCATATCTGTTGAAGCTATGACCGATCCGAAGACTTCTTGTAAGTAATATCTATTATCAAAAATTGTTGATTTGAAAATATCAACAAAATTCTCATTTTCCAGCAGTGGATCAGCATTATAACGTGCTACATCACAAATAATGAACATAATGTTCTGAACCATCAACGAATAACTTCTTTCTTCAAATTTGATATTATGAACCCAAATTATTAAAGAATCCATGATTGCTTTGTATCCCAAACTGTTGTATGTCTCCAGTTTACTGTCTTTTGCTTCTTCAATTGTGGCAACTGAGGCTACTAACATACCAACTGAACATGCGAACAAATCAACATGTTCTGGACGACTAAATATGCTCTTGTTGTCAATGATGAGCTTCAACAAGTACTTGAAGCCACCTGAAGTAAAGATATAAGTGATGTCTCTCCTGTTTTTCAGATTAATCAAGTGACTTAATATGTTCATTCGATAAAGGAGTACGTAAGGGTATTTTGTATCGAAGACCTCTTTCCAATTTGGTGTCTTCGATTTGAAAATGTTGCTTTCGGATTCAATTGTTGGAAGTAAATTCAAAACTGTCAATGCATTTTCGGATTCTTTGGAGTTGGCTTTGACTATATCGAATAACTTCCCAGAATACCTCGCTAAAACTGTTGTTGGGTACTCAGATTTCGACCATTTTCTTGCACCGTTGCCGAAAATCGGAGATTTTACGGTAATTTCTTCATTGGCCGTGAAGTGATGAATATCTGTTAGTGGATCTTCGCCTATGAAGAACTCGAGCTGATTAAAATCTGTATTCAAATAAGATTCAACTCTACGCTTGAAGAAATCAACTGTAGACCCGAATGGTATCATTATTGATCCTTTGTCAGTCGGTTTGATCGTAATCAATGGACTATACTCAAATTTGTTGCATTTTGGAGGATTTACCAAAATTGTTTCGATTTGGTATATTAAATTTGATATAGTTATTAATGATGCATTGGATACGTACTCTTCCATGATTTGGACTATCAAATTATCGATTAACTGATTATTTCTGCATCTCATGATCAAGTTCGTCATAAAAGTAGCTACTTCTGGATCATCGCTATTCTTTAGGACTGTAAGGATCGATTGGAACCCAACTAAATCAAAATTATCAAATTGATTATTATTATCTAAATTATTAATGAAAAGAAACAGAGAGAAAATAAAATCTGTCATCACATGGCTCTGAGAAACAAGCCAACTAAGGAGTGTATGCACTAAAGTTGTATCTATTATGTGATTTAAAATTAATTGGTTCAAAAACAAAGTAACAAGGCGGGAATCTTCAATAATAACTGGTTCTATTAATATTTTAAGCTTGTCAAACTCTTCTTTTGTTAAATTATGGTTTAATATCCTGCAAATTTTCAAAATTAGTTCAAAGAGTGGTCGTGATTCTTTCGGATCTAATTGTCCGTAATCCAGAACGTGTCCCAGATCATCCATTGTCGGTTCTTTCAATAAATTAAGTAAAACCAAAATATGAAAATATTTGTTTTTTCCTTTATGAAGTCCTGTATACGCATTTGAAATCACCGCCTGGGATATAGTTGGTGCCACCTTAGCATATTCGCAAATTGCGTAAACACAATCGATTTTTTCTTCACAATTTGACAAAGAAGTAATTAATTTGCATTTTGTTATATCCTCTGCCTTCGGTGCTACCTTAATAAGAAAATCTAATGCAGCTTTTGGATATTTCGGAGAATGAATAACGACTTCCCAAAAAACATGCATTTTTTCTTTCGGAATACTAGCAAAAAGTCTCGGCCAGTCCGCAAAAAATTTATCAATAATTGTTTGATGCTCGTTAACACAAACGTTCCAATATTTTTCCAATTGTTCATCAATGAATTGACCTGAATTCCACATCTTTATGAAAAACGTTACAAATTTTGGTACTAAGTCTTGATGTAAATCTGCGATTAAATGATCAACAACTTTATATTCATTTAATTTTTCTATTGTTTCTTGCGAAAAAGCGCGAAAACCTGTAAAGTTTTGAAGTGCTGCTGCCTTCTTTGTAATGGAATCAGAAATAGCGAATTCAAACATGAGTTGGGACAAAAATGTATTTAAATCATTTTGTTGCTCTTTTGGAACGTAGTTTTTAATAAATGTCATACTCTTTTCCAGATGTTTTTCGTTGTAATTTCCTTCTTTTTGAACTTGTATGGAATTAATTATCCTTTTTAAACCAATTGAAGCAATATCCGAGAGAATTGCTTTGCTTATTGTTGATGAACAGTCATGACAAAGCATAAGTAGGCGATTGATATTAGCTAACTTGATATTTTCGTCTTCATTTAAATATTCTGCAATTTGTTTGAATGGATTGACAGTAGTGAAATAATCGTTTTTGAGATAACTGCTTAGCCCTCTGTAGAGATCTAATATATCTAATACGATTATCTTTTTCGCTTCTTCCCATTGAGATTCAAAATCTTCAATTTCCCCAAGATATGATTTAAAATTAATATAAAAATCTTCTCCAAAATGCTTGTTTAGATATGTGGCAAGAACAAGTTTTGATAGAGCCATAGGAATTCCTTTTTTCGTTAATTTTGCATAATCTAAAAGTTTTAATGAAGAGGACAACGCTAAACGGGCATTCTTGATTTTTATTGATTGTAAAAATTCGTTGAGCTGCTGCTCAAATTCCAAATCGTTAGCTGTGCTGTCACTCATTTGTCAAAATTTTACTTAATAATTATTGATCGATCAAGTTTAAAGGTATTATTTAATAGATAATGGTAACAGAAGAAAAAAACATAAATATCAAGTATTGCAAAATCGATGAAATCTGAATTTGATAATAAATTCCAATAATTAGATTAAATCTTCATTTTTATTATAAATTGACTTTTAATTAAATTGAAAGTTTATTCAATTTGTTTCAGATCAATTGAATTGATTCAATCTGATCTGTTAGCTCAATTTTACTGAGATATTAGCAAATTGAAAAAAAAATGTTATACTCTATATCGTAATTCGATAGGGTTTTAATAAGGATGTAGAAAAAAAAAAAAAAAAAAAAAAAAGGTAGTGGGGCTTCCAGGCGCGTTGCGCCCTCTAGCCCTGAAGATGTTTAGTATAAATGAAGTTTTTATTCGGAGGGCTTCCAGGCGCGTTGCGCCCTCTAGCCCTGAAGATGTTTAGTATAAATGAAGTTTTTATTCGGAGGGCTTCCAGGCGCGTTGCGCCCTCTAGCCCATAAAAAATTTCTGAGGACGAGCCAGCCGTTGACTTTTTTGTAGAGCACTCAAAATAGTATAACTTTGTCCGGACAAGTAAGGGTCTATCGTCGCTACAGGAAAAGTTACAGGCGTTCCAAGGAAGTATACTTTGAGAAGCCTTTTTCCCCTTATAGAATGAGATAGGACGGTTATTTTACAAAACCGACAACACTTTGACCGAGTAGTTTTTTGTGCTGAACAAAAAGTGTCATATAAACATCTGGCAAAAACCGCTTTTTACCTTCACTTAAAATGCCACGTAAGCTACGTAAGAATATACGTAAGAGGAAGGGAGCATTGAAACATCCAATAGTAAAACTGACACCACAACAAAAGTTGCAACAACAAATGATGAATGACCCCACTATGTTGCAACAAATGTCAAGCAACCCTATGCTTTTAAACCGAGTTATTGGTGCACAGAGTGGAGGTTTAAGAGCGGCACTTTTAGCGAAAATGGCAGGCTATGGTGGAGCTGCAGACGGAACAGCTTATAACCCTCAAAGTCAAATGAATTTGAGTTCACTCAAAAATCAAATAGCAGATGTCAAAAAGTCAAACATAGACATACAGAAACAAATAAGTGAAAACGAAAAGAAACTAGAATATGACAGACACACAAAGAAACTCAATGAGTTAAACGTAGAGAAAAAGAAGAAAGAAGAACAACTGAAAGAACTAAGTACAGAGGAATATGCGAAAAAAGTGTCAGAAAAAGCAGCAGAAGTAGCAAAAATGGAACAAGATGTTATAAATTTGAAAAACCATACTACTAAATATAAAGTACTGAAAGATGAAGAGATAAAACAAAAAGCCATGAAGACATATATGGATAGCGATGAGTATAAAAAAGAAGTTGAAGCAAATGTAAAGGCAGAAAAACTTTTACAGTTGCAAAACCAAACCGTAGAGTATGAAAACTTAGCACAAGAAAGTAAAAATAACGACGCAGCCATGCAAAAGGCAATGAAAAGCGCAGAATATATAAAAGCTAATAATGACTGGTTAGATGCCCAAGCCAACGCCAAAGCAGCCCAACTTATAGGGTCAATAAGGACAAAAATACAAGCGGATGAAGACAGTTCAAATGAAGCTTTAATGAATGCTGACTTTAAGAATGCCTTCGAAGCTCTTCATAGTAAGGTGAAACTAGTGAACGACTTCTCATCTGGAAAGAAACTGAAGTCTGAAGGTTTCGACAAAGAGTTAAGAGAAGTAGCACAAAATATGACGAAAATAACAGATGCAGCAACGAGACAGGCAGTTCAAAGTGCCTATGACGCCGTTAGAGCAACTGTTGTGAAAAGTCAAGAAAAAGAGTTACAACAGACCAAAACAGACCTAGTAAATGCTTTCTTAAGAACGAAAAGTCAGGTAGGACATTACGCTGCAGATGGAACATATGTGCCAGCTGGTGGAACTTATATACCACCAAACCCTCCAAGAGAAGCACCTGCACCAGGACTACCTAGAACATTTACATCGTCACATGGACACAGACACAGGCATGCACAACAACCAGCACAACAACCAACAGTTCAAAATCCAGCACAACAACAACAACCAGCACAACAACCAACACAACAACCAGCACAGCAACCAACAGTTCAAAACCCTGCACAACAACAACCACAAACAGAGCAAGGACATAAAAGAAGTAGAGAACAAGGAAACCAAGAATTCTTAAAAATGCTTAAAGAAGAGTGTGGTTTCCCAGATACTGTTGACTTTAGTGACAGATATAAAGAAGCTATTGGAAAGTTCAAGGATGGAAATACTGACCCGAACCTATTTAGCTTTATGGCTCAGCACCAAAAACGGATATAATCTCAAACCTGGAAAAATACAAGCTCGCTAAGGGATATGATTTAATAGCATATCATCCAAATGACATGGATGAATTTACTCCGAGATATTTGATGTCAGAGCTAAATGACAATTCAACTTTCGTCATGAAACGCGTAAAAAATAGAGACGGAACGAAAGAACAAAAGCTTATGAATGCGGATGACGTAGATAGGGAAATGTTGAAAACGGTCTCGGAATATATGAAATGCCAGCAGATGAGGTACAAGAAACTCCACAGGAAGAAGTTCAGATACAACCAGACATGGAAGAAATAGTTCAGCAACAACAGCTAGAAGAGCCTGAAGGAAACGAACAAGTCACTCCTTTGGAAACTAACTTCACAGAACTAGATGAAGATTTGGAACAGCCGAAAAATCTTGACCCTCAACAAGAGTATGCGAGAATATGGAATATTTCCAAGAGTCTAAAAAAAATTCGGCTGACATAGTAGAAGAATATCGAAAAATGTTTGCCGACATACAAAAGACTCCAGCACCAGATGAAAATATTCAGCATAGAATGGAAGAACTGAAAAAAAATGTACACAAATACAACAACCCTTTTTACTTACGAGCATTTAACGTTCAATCTTCGGATGAACTCGGTGAAGATAAAAGGTTAAATTTCAAGAAAACATATAGAAATGAAACATTGTTTAAAGTTCATTCAGAACCTAGCCAAGATGGAAACAAACCTACTTTTGTTTCTGCAGACGATGGAACTACAATGAGATGGGGTCATAAAGCTAATCCAGATAGGTGGTTCATAAACTTACAACCACAATTCCAAGAAGTTGTAGACGCAATGGAAGTCAATGGTGAACCAGATATAGCTGGTATTTTCAGCGCGGCTTTAATGCCATTGAAAGATATGAAACATGCAGATATTTTGGACCAGTATGAAATGAACATGGCTGATGGAAATATAACACCTGACGTTCTAAAACATTTATCTCAAAGAACTACACAGAACCATAGAGATGGTATATTTGGTGAAGAGTTTAGAAAGAAAGTTAGGGAGGGAGAAGGAAGAGAACCTATTGTACATGACCTTGCAAATGAAAGTTTACAAAATGTCATAAAAACTTACTTTGCAGACAATGAAATGAGAAGGGATGAATATTTAAGAAAACTCAAATGGACAGTACCAAATGAAATGTTAGTATTGAAAAACATGTTCCTTGACAAAATAAAACCAACTACAGAAATAAACGACGCAAGACTGAAAGATTGGGTAAAAGCTTTCCCATTCACAAAAGATATAGTTGGTAACATGGAAAGAAAACCAGAATGGCTACAAAAACATATATTTGGAAACGAGCTTATTCCATATGGACAAGCACTGTTTGAAGCGCTTGAACCGGAAACTCAGGAAAGAGTCATGCAAACAATACGCGAAGACTCAAATACAGACTATGACAAAATCTTTCTAGGATATAGGTTACCTGAGATGGGCGACCAGAGCCAAAAGGCAAAAAGGACATGGGAAATTTGCAACATACTAGATGAACATAATGCAAAGATGCAACAACTTCAAGCAGAGGGCAATGAAGGAAAAGAAGAGTTAAAAACTCAGTCAGGAAGAAAGTAAAGCTTGGTCCACGTGGGTTCTATTATGACATATAAATCCAACTATTCTATATTTTTACTCATATGAAATGTACGCCGCTCAGAATATAACGCCAACAGTTTTGGATGCTATGAATGGAAATGTTTCCGAATGGTATAACGAATGCGACAATGCCATTAGAAGGTCAGAAATAGTTCCTGGAACTTACGAATATACAACTGCTGTTTCTTATGGAAACGTAGGTGAGTTTGGAGAAGGTTCTTCAACAACAGTAGATATTGCTTGCGACAGGTTTCATATTATTTCTATTGACAACTCATTCTTATACGTGGAACAAGACATTGAAATAAAACCTTCTGCCAAGTTGTCTGACAAGAAAGGTTGCAATGGAATTTTCTATGTCGGATACCAATATGCTCCAGAAGTTTTCATGGGATATAAGATATATTCTAACTCTGACTTAGTTCAAACAGTAACATGGGCAAACTATGAATGGTTCGCTTTGAGAAACTCAGTACAACCACAAGCTAGAGAACAAACAGACCAGTATGCAACTATTGAGAAAATAAGAAGACTTGACCCTAACGTTCCAGGAGTTTATGTTGACCTTTCTGGACAAACTGCAGCAGCAGTAACCAAAGTAAAACTGAAACTTAGAGTTCCTTTGTCATCTTTCCTCATCTTCAGGTTTTTAAGATACTTGCCAAACTGGGCAGGAAAAATTTCTATCGAACTTACTCCAAGCAAAAATAACTTAGTCATTGCACCAACACAAGACCCATTCACTCTTACAGAAGTAGTGGGAACAAATAAAATGTCATTCGCCGACTTTTGCAAAAACAAAGTTGACTTAGACTTTGGTTTCTCAAACCTCAACACTGAAGTAAACTATTATTTCAATGCTGCTGGAGATGCTTGGGACCCAGTTAAGTTCACATGCGAAAAATTTGAATGCAAGAGAATAGAAAGCAGACTTGCAGTCTATATGTTGGACCCAGATATTTCAAATGCTTTAGCTGCCAAATATATTGCAGTTCACTTATGTTCCCTATACACCAAATATCTGTCAAAGACTTTGCAGGTGAAGTTGGAAACCAAAGTGCTGACCCAGGTGCAAGAACAGATATTGCCTTAACAACTGCAATGAAACATGCAGATACTATGTTTGTTACTGTTCAGACGAACTATAAATGACTATTCTTGCTTCTACAACCCTGGTATTAATATACCATATAAACATAGATGGCAAATACTATCCAAGAAAGAATATTCTACAGTTGAGGATATGAGGTCATACAACTTGACATTAGATGCTATGAACTTTAACAAACAACTTCACAACAACCATTAACCCTGAAATGCAAAGTTCTATTATGCCATATGTGAAAGTATGGACTCATGCAGAGCTCAAAAAACTCAATATACAAATGGAGACCGTTCAAACTTTTGGCTTGGCATTCCATTTGCTGACTCAGAAGACTTTATGGGTGGTATTTCAACTGTTTGGTACAGTTCAAATACAATATACTGGTGACAGAGACGGTCCAAATGAATTGAGAGCAAAGAAGTTTACAAAACCAATAGCACTTTTCACGGAAGATGCTCTTTTGAAGATTCGTTCGATGAAACCTGCTGGGGCTCCTCAGATTGGCATAACGACAGCTTCCATCGAGCAGATTTTGGCAGCAGGTCAGTAAGTTGTTCTTGAACTGACTTCTCTCCGTCAAATATTGACAGTACGCCAGTTTTGACATAATATTGTATTATAAACTTTCCTTTAGTAATATCGGTCAGTTTTGAAGTTATATTTTTGTCTGCTTCAAGAACTTTCACCATTTCAGTTATACCAACTTTCTTTGCTTTATGAAAATATTTAGGTTCAGCAAAGACTGCTATTCTATAGCATTTTCCATTGTTTGTGTAAAGAACTATTCTGTCAATGTATTTGTATTGTTTGTGAGTATAAACTTTGTTCTGCTTCAATTCAATAAGATATCCGAATACGTCCATCTTTTTATTCTAAGTAAAATGTCATTTCCGAAAAATAGAAGCGTAAGTGTTTCAAAAGGTTTAATGGCGGTGGCAGACGTAAAGTTAAATTCACCAACTCAAACAAACAGTCAAAGTGTTGTTGTCAATGTCAAAGAAAGAGATGTTGAAGTGGGGAAACCATACGAAGACGAAGATGGTATAACAATAGTTCCTGTAAAAGAACAACCAACATATCCTGAAGTTAGCAGAGACTTAAGTTCTGTTGCAGATATTCGAAACGACTACCAACAACTTAAAGACAAACTTAAAACTCAGGAGAAGATTTGTCAAGCTTTGGGTATAATGTTAAACTTGGTCGAACACAACCCTGTAAAAGTGAACTCATATGTCATCGCACCTCATGAAATTTTGAAAGAACTATTGAAACTTTTGACAGAGGCAGATGATATAAACATCAAAGAAATAGAACCCGACGTTAGTTGCTGTGGTGTTTCATATAATGTCATTGACAAGATATACGTTATGAAAGGAGGTGAAACGTTGAACTTAAAATATAGTTTCCCAGACGTCATAAAAATATTTGACGACCACAACATTTCATTAAAATTTACTTGCTAAGTAAATGGCAGAAGACATAGTGGTTTATACTATTACGACTAAAAACCCTGAGTCATATAATTCTATAACAACAAACTTACAAAGTCCTCAAGGACGATATTGTAAACTAACCTTAAACACAATGACGACTAAAGCCTGTTTTGCTCTTTTGACACCAGAAGATTTTATTGTTGTGAATGGTAAAAAATACTCCTTTGAAGATACTTACTCAGATATACCACCAACAGGTTTTGTTGACTTATTTAATACTTTAAGGACGGATGTAACATGTGCTGCAACTAGAGCAGGTTTCATTATGTTTGGATGTCCGACTGAGTTTACTATAAACAATATGAGCTATAATACAAAACTTATTTCTGGTTTTTACTACCAACAGTTTCCTATAACAGGAAAAGGTGTCATACAAGGAATGTCTGTTCCATTGACTTTAAGTACACCTATTTTATATATTGTTTCAAACTTAGGTTCAAAGTGTTATTCGAATATCGACAGAAACTACTATGACCAAAAGATACTCATGCGTATAAACAACACTTTCTCTGCTGGTTTGCCTATTGTTCATTCGAATGCAGAGTTTTCAGCTTTAGTAAACTCAAACACTTTAGCAAACATAAACTTAACCTTAGTCGACGCAAACTTTGTTCCTGTAAAACTTTTATGTCCTATGTATTTGTCAATGACGGCAGAAAGTTTCGAATTGGAAGATGCAACTGGTGAAAGTATTGTATTACAAGAACAACTTCAACAACAAATAGCTCAAGAACAACAAATGCAACAAATGGAACAAGAAAGTCAAGAATAAAAAAATAATATTTTTTTTTATTTTTATAAAAATGTACAGAATAGATGTTTCAGATTTTTATGACTTCCAAGCATTCAGAAATATGTGTCCATTTCGAGACTATAACAAAGCAGTCGAGAATTTGAAACGTTTAGTCATTTATGTCGACTCTGCCCCAGAATGTTATGTTATGAAAGAATGGGATGTTGTCTTTAACAAACCAAGAGCAACCATAGTTTCAGAACAAGAATGTAGACAGAAACTTAAGAAAATAAAAGTTGTACAAGTTGGAATGAAGATGTTAGATGCTTGGGATATCTTATTGTCAAAGTTAGAAGATTTTTCAGTTCGTGGTATAAAGTTTTATACACCTTCTCCAAACTTCTATTCTATCTTCACTGGATATAAATACGAACAAGTAGAATGGAAAGAAAATATTATAGAAGCTTGGTTAGACCATGTCAAAGAAATTATATGCAATGGAAACGAAAGAGTCTATGAGTATATCTTATGTTGGTTTGCAAACATCTTACAATATCCAAGTGCTAAAAATGAAACTGCTCTCATTATAATTGGAAAACAAGGAACTGGTAAGAACACATTCTTTACAGATATTTTGTGCAAACTGTTAGAAGGTTATTCGAATCCGAATATGACAAACTTAGAAAACATCTGCGGTAAATTTAACTCTTCAATAGAGAATATGAAACTTATAGTATGTAACGAACTTCAAAGTATAGATACAACAAAAGTTTTGAACTCGGATGCTTTGAAGAGTCTTATAACAGACAAAGTTGGAGTTGTTGAAAGAAAATATAAAGACCAAAGAGTTTGTGAAAATGTTGCAAACTTCATTATGGTTTCAAACAATACTGTTCCGATGAAGTTAGAAAGTTCTGACAGAAGATATGTAGTTGTCAGAACGTCAGATTCTCATATGCAAGATACAGAATATTTTGACGACTTAGCAGAAACTTTGACACCTAACTTTTACAACCACTTGTTCTCATATTTCATGACATTAGATATTTCTAAGTTCAATCCAAGACAAATTCCATATACCGAAGAAAGACAAACATTGTTAGAAGCAAACAAGAGTGTATATGAACTGTTTATAGATGAGACTAACTTTGAGTGTTTAGATGAAAGGTCATTGTACGATTCATATAAACAATATTGTCAAGAGTATGGTTATATGGCAGCTTCTAAACGTACATTCTTGGCAAATGTCAAAAGTCTTTTAGATGTTCAGAACGGCGTATATACAAAGAAAAATTTTTCTGAGTAAATTTAAAAAAAATATTTTTATTTTATTTGAAATGTACGCTGAGTTTGTTGGAAAAGACCTAGATAACGAAAATAGATATGCGCTATTCTGGTTAGATTGTCCTTATGAAATGTATGAAAAAAAGGCTTTATATGAAGAATATAGAAAATATTGTTATGAAAACGATATAAGACCAAGCTCTAGAGAAAAATTCTATGCTGGTATAAAACATCTTTTCGAAGTTCGGAATGGCAAATATAGAAAGAAATAATTTTTATGAGTAAATTTTAAAAAAAATATTTTTTTATCCGATAGAAAAGATGACGAAATATATTTCAGTCAACAAGTACATGACAGAAGTCAAAGAAGAACTAGACCCATTCGCATATTTTGAATGTTTACTTCTACCATTTGAAAAGTCTACATTTGACAAAGTTTGGAACATCGAACCCGTTAAGTTTGCTATTGTGACTAAAAATGGTGCGAAATTTGAAGACTTAGACATAGAAGGTTTGTTAACAGTCAAAGAAAATTTTGACAGAAGGTTCTCAAACCTTAAAGAAGGCAAAGCATACAAACTTGTTATACCTTATGAACCAAAGAAAGCAGACGACTATGAATATTATGAGTCTAAGATAGTTGAAGTTCAAGGTAAATTGGGTAAAAAGATTTTAGAGTCTAAACCAGTGTTTGCTCCTAAAGAGGAAGAGAACATTGACATTGACCCAGAAATGTTCTAAAAATAAAATTTTATTTTTACATGTCAAATTTCTTTTTCTCTGGAACTGGCTCTGGTTCAGGTTCTTTCTTCTCTTCTTCTACTTTCTTCTCTTCTACTTTCTTTTCTTTCTTTTCTTTCTTTTCTCTCTTCTTCTTCTTTTCTGGTGGAGTTATGTCAAACTTCTCAGAACCATATTTTTGTAAAAGGTCTTTGTCCTTTAATAGCTCTTCTATTCTGTTTTCTATTTCATCTTCAAGAACAGCGCATGTGTCTTCTTTGCATTCTAAGAACTTTTGTTGGACTTCATCTTTCCAATCGGTGTCATCTCTGTCAACAAGTCTGTCATTGACAAATTTTAAGACTGCTCTTTGTAATGTTTTATGGTTCTTGTCATATTCCCAGAAACAGAACTTTAGAACAAATTCACCTTTCTTGTTTACACTATGTAAGATTTTATGGTCGACAGATGTTTTGCTGTCGAAAAGTTTGTCTCGAATATAGATAGCGAAATCGCTAGACATTTTCAAAAAGATAAAAATTTTAATTTTTCTAAAAATATGTTAGAAAAAAAGTTTGCTGACATTGACAAGAAATTTGAGAATGTTTTAAACAAGAACAAGAGGAAGTTGGAAAATGCTCAGATAAAACCCATACATGACAAGTTCTTATTTGCTCAGAATGGTATAACAGGTCTAATTGCACCACCTGGGTCGGGTAAGACTTTCACTTATCTTAAAATGGCTGCACAACAACAAGAACTAGATGAGAAGAACCCATTCTATGAGTTAGTAGTCATTTGTAGTACTTCTGGTCAATTCGACCAAACCGTCAATTCGTTCAAAGATATTATAAAGAAGTCTAAGTTAGTATGTATAAAGGATACTGAGTTGTTAGATTGGATAAAGAAGTACCAAAGAAGAGTTTTGAAGTACAATGCTATAAATGAGTATATAAATTCGAAGTTTAAAGACCCAAATGAGGAAATGCAGAGAATATTAGAGAAGAAACACTTCAGAAACAAACAGAAAGAGATAGAATACATTTCGAAGAAATTGCAATCTTACGATTGGAAGACATACCCTCATAGGTGTCTTCTTATCTTAGATGATTTCGCCTCTCATCCTTTGTTAAAGAACAGAGAACAAGATATGTGTCGAATTCTTAAGAAGCTCAGACACTTTAACATCTCAGTTGTCATTTGTGTACAGACAGCAAAGAGTTTAAGTAAGGATGTAAAGAGAATACTTACTGACATTATACTTTTCCCCGGATTGTCCGAAGACGATTTCATGGAACTTATGAAAGAGTCCATGGCAGGTAAGTTTGACAGACATGAACTATGGGAGAAGTACAAAGTCATACAAGACCCTCATACTTCTTTCAGAATTCATATCTACGCAAACAAAGTTCAAATTGTAAAAAGTCAATAAAAATAAATGTTTAGTCTTAGTAAGTCTGTTGTGGTGCTGGGGCTGTCGGTTCTTCTGGCTTTGGAATGGACTCGGTTGGTGGTACGTCGGACATTCGTTTGTGTCTTAACCGTCTTTGTTCTGAAAAAGTACAATATTGTACTGAATTTATACAACATTGTCTTGAAAAAGTACAATATTGTACTGAATTTATACAACATTGTCTTGAAAAAGTACAACATTGTCTTGAAAAAGTACAACATTGTTCTGAAAAAGTACAACATTGTTCTGAAAAAGTTCAAGACTTGTTCTGAAAAAGTACAGCTGTACTCAAATTTGAGAGACATTGTACTGAATTTATACAATATTGTACTTATTCAGTACAATATTGTCTTGAATAAGTACAATATTGTCTTGAAAAAGTACAATATTGTCTTGAAAAAGTACAATATTGTCTTGAAAAAGTACAACATTGTCTTGAAAAAGTACAACATTGTTCTGAAAAAGTACAACATTGTTCTGAAAAAGTTCAAGACTTGTTCTGAAAAAGTACAGCTGTACTCAAATTTGAGAGACATTGTACTGAATTTATACAACATTGTTCTGAAAAAGTACAATATTGTACTGAATTTATACAACATTGTCTTGAAAAAGTACAATATTGTACTGAATTTATACAACATTGTCTTGAAAAAGTACAATATTGTACTGACTCAGTATGGAGCTTGACCCCTTAGACGAAGCAATTTATCTAATTGAAATTAACGAGCTTGTTAAAGACTTCCTCAGGCAGAATGTAAAAGGCAAGCTTGAAAAATAAATGGTTCATCTACCCTACTTGTTTGAAGTTGTCAAAATACTCTGTTATTTTTTCCTTTAACAATGGCAAATCTTCTTTGAAGGTAAGTATTGTACAACCTTTAATATCATAGTGTGTTTGAGGTAACGTATCTTGAACTATTTGTTTCACATCTTCATTTGGTGTCATTGAAATCGGTAAGTTTTCGCGATAGAACCAATTTCTGTCAGATTTGTAAATCTTAGCAAGGTCGTAAAAGCTTTTGTTGTTTCTTCTGACTAAATGCAACATAACCATATCTCTGTCTTCTTCATTTTCCATCTCTTCAGTATAAATCATATACTTATAGTTCTTTTCCTTTCCTTTTGGTACCGAACGTGGTATTCTTTTCTGAAGGCTTTTGTCTTTTGCTTCAAGCTTGTTCTCTAGCTCTTCACGTTCTTGTCTATGAATTTCGTCAAGAAGTTTACAAACATACCATGAATAGCGAGCTGAAGCCCATTGTGCCACATTATTTACAAGAAGTCTATGTACATAATATCCTCTCAAACCGTTTGGCAATTTTTCACGATTTTCATAGAGTTTTGGCGACTGGGGTTTTTCTCCCACTCGCTGTTCTTCACGATTTTCAGAAAAAAGTATGTCTCGCTGTGCTTCATTTAATAGTTCAATAGTGCTTTGGTTCCTAAACCAGTCTTTAGGAAGCTTAGTATCTGGAGCAAAACATGCTGTCAAAATACTTTGCATTTGGTACATGTCATCTTTGACCGAACGAATGAGACGTAACTGTTTGTTATACTGTATGTACTCATATTCTTCATTTATAGCTTCATGGACTATAACTGTTGTTGTGTTCTCTGTTGTTGACATATCTGTCTTTACATACAAAATAAAAAAATAAAAAAAAATAAAATTAGCGTTATTTTCTATCTTGTATAAAAGACCAAAAATAAACGCTTTACATGTATTTTTCAGCAACTTCGTCAAACAATTTTATAGCTTTATCTATCTCATCTACTTCAAACGTTTCTTTTCCTTTCGTGGGAGCACCATACATTTTCTCAAACTTTTCAAGCAGTTCTGTTTCAGCAGCTCTCATATCGTTAACAAACGCAACCTTAACTCTATTGACTATACTGTCATATCTTTGAGTTATATTAAATGTTCTTCCTATCTTATATCTCTTTGTATTGAAGTCCTTCGGTTTCTGAACGATGTAAAGTAAGCCTTCACTGCAACGTTCCGTATCGAACGAACCATATGTTATGAAATTATATCCAACAACTGGGTCAATCCAGAACAAAACTACTGGTATAAGACTTTTGTCTATAAGATATGCTCTTGTTCCATAGAATCTTACCGATATCATAAGCTCAGGATTTCTTGTCAAAATTTTCTGAGTTGAAGCATTTTTAACCCAGTCGTGTGCTTTCTTTCCTTCAGATAGTGTTAAAATGTCTGACAAAGAATATTTTTTGTATTTCTTTGAGTATCTTACGTTTAAATCACCTATTCTAACTATTTTGGTCTCATTGTCTATCTTTTTAACTGTTTCAAACTCAACCTTTAACATTTCTGTTCTTACATACAAAATAAAAAAAATAAATAAAATAAAACTAACTTTATTTTTATTTTTTCTATCTTAAGGAAATTCATGAAATTTCATAGAATTTTTTTACGAAGTGTAAAAGTTCTCTTCGTCAAAAATAACAGTTATATAATGAAATTTGGTCATTTTTTCAGCAAAAATATATTTTAGGTGAAGAGGTGAGATTTCACCTGTTTTTTCACCTCTTTTTTCACCTCTTGAATTTTGTATAAAAGATATGATTTCATAGAATTTTTTTACGAAGTGTAAAAGTTCTCTTCGTCACTCATAACAGTTATATAATGAAATTTGGTCATTTTTCAGCAAAAATATATTTTAGGTGAAGAGGTGAGATTTCACCTCTTTTTTCACCTCTTTTTTCACCTGTTATTTTATAAGCGTTTTACATGAATTGTATGATGTATATTTGAAATCCTAAACAATTTTGTGGCTTCTATTTCTTCTTTTAGTACATCGAATGTTTTAACAATGCCGAATGTTTCTTTATATTTCTTCTTGACATCTGAAAGAAGGAAATCTTCTGCTGTTGGATAGTTTTTGTTCAGAAATTCTAACATGTCCATTTTATCTTCTGCTGGTTTTTCTGCTTCTTTCTTTAAATCTGCATAGTCGTTTCGCATACGTTCTATCTCTTTGACGGAGTAGTTATATTTCCTCATTGCTGCTTTACATTTTGAACATTGCGGGTTCATTTTTGCGTTATATTCTGAAACCTTACCTGCTAAAACAACTAAGGCGTCAATGGTTTTCTTTAACTCAAAAGTTGCGGGTCTTATTTGTTCATTCCATATCTTACCTCTTCTATCTTTATCTCTTATCTGCCATACACATTTTGCAACTAACGAAACAAAGTTGTCGTAGGTCTTAAACTCCCCAGATTTGTATATGTCAGAGATGTTCTTATATACCATATCGCAATCTTTGTCCATGACTTTGTGGTTGCAATGAAATCCAAGAAACTCATAGTTAACCTTTCGTATGAACTTCTTTATTTCTACTGAGTCAGTTGCTTTGACTTCTATTTCATCGAATTCTGGAATAGTAGCTTTTGTTGTTGGATTTCAGGAAGTTTAGGTAGATGGTCAATAATGTCCTGCATTTCATAAAGATACTGTTCATTTGTTTCATCTTTCGCAGTGCAATCTAAATCTCCTTGAGAAGTTCTTGCTTTATCTTCTGGATTTCTGTTTCGAAAGTATATGAAGAAGGAATGAAGTTTTTCATCTCTACTAACATTGAAGTTGGTTCATGACTAACGAGTTTGGTGCTGTTGTTGCTAACATGTTCTTACAATAAAAATAAAAAAATATTTTTTTAAAAAACAACTTTATTTTTATTTCGGGAAAATTCATGAGGTGAAAAAAGAGGTGAAAAAAAGGTGAAATCTCACCTCTTCACCTAAAATATATTTTTGTCGAAAAAAATGGTTCATTTACTCACAATATTTTTGTACAAAACAACCCCAAGCTTTTAACCTCTCTTCTGCAGCTTCTAATGCTATCTTAGCGAGTTCATATTCTCTAAATTCTCTCTTTAAATCTTCTTGTTCCCATTGGTCTAGTTCGTATGGCGAGTCTCTATAACCAGAACATATCTCACGTTCATGTTCTATTTGTTTTTCATGCATTTTTCTAACTTCTTCTTCGAACAAAGGTTTAGCATTTTCTACTGTATCTTCAAGTTCTTCTTCATCTAACTTCTCATGAACTTTCTTGTCTATGGAATCCAAAATTTTCCAACTGCTATACAATATTTTGGAGAAGCCCACATTGCTATATAGTTTACAAGTCTTGGGTCTACATACGTTCCTCTAACCTGTTTGATTTCATCAGGAATTCCTGCATGAACTGTGTATAAAAAGCAACCCGCGGAATTCGCGGGTTGGTATATTCTTCACAAAATGCCTCAAAATACTCTTCCCAGGACTTATTTTCCAACAACCTTCTAAAGTCCTTCCTAAACTGCTGACACATATTTGTTGCATTTATATAACCATCCTTGTCTCTACGTAAGACTTCAATACCGTTGTAAGTGCCTTTTGTGAATGTTTCGCCATTAGATTTGTTCGTGAACGTTTTTGCTTCGACTGTCATTTCTGTTCTTACAATAAAAATAAAAAAATATTTTTGAGTGGCTTAACCGTCGGACATTCGTTTGTGGCTTAACCGTCGGACCACAACGATAAAAATCTCGACAAAACATTTACGAAGAAGTCATGACAAAACATTTACGATGAAATCATGACAAAACATATACGATGAAGTTTATTTCCTGTGTTGTTGTCAAAATGTCATGTTGTCACACTTTTTCAAAAAGATGTTAGTTGACCGAGTGACCTGGTCGCCTAAAATATATTTTTTTCTATCTTAAGGAAATTCATGAAAATTCACCTGTTGAATTTTGTATAAAAAGCAACCCGCTGTTTTCCGCGGGTTGGTATATTCTTCACAAAATGCTTGTTTTGAGGTCGAGCCACTTTTGGCTCCACCTCTTTTTTCAACCAAAAACTCATTTTTGTCGAATTCAGCACAAAATTCATGAAAATTCATGAGGGTGAAAAAACAGGTGAAAAAAGAGGTGAAATCTCACCTCTTCACCTAAAATATATTTTTCAATACTTTTTCAGCACTTCTCCGTAGTTATATATGAAAGACAATTCGAGATAAAAGTCGTAGTACAATGGAACAATATGTTGCACACCATTTGTTGTGAACCAAACTTGAAAGTCAGAGAAACTGTTACTAGGTGGTTCGGGATGAAATTTCTTCATCTGATATAGTCCTACCAGCATTTGTAAAGATATAGTCTAACGGTTTTGTATCTGCTACTTTTGTTCTTTGTTTTTCAACCTGAAGCATTTAATATATGTAAAAATATACTGTTTTAAAAATGTTTTAAAATGGTATGCCATATAGCTTCTTGAATTTGTTAAGAAGTATTCGAACGTATTTTCCATCTGTATCTCTAGCGTTTACATAAGCATAGCCATCCTTAGTAAAATATACTTGTAATTTTCTATAGTTTACGCCGGTATAAAAGTAGAAAGAGTCTTGTTCTTCGCTATAGTAGTAAAACTCAAACGTATGCTTACCATAGTCTGTAATTTCAATTGCTTCATCTTCTAGTTCGTCGACAAATTCGAATACTATATCTCCAAATTTGCCTCTGTTCTTATTGTTTTCAGAACAAGTGACCCAGCGTAAGTTTTCAAGTCTATTGTCGTTTCTTATATGGTTTATATGGTCTACAAAAGGTAAATTGTTAGGGTTCGGTATAAAATGAGTTGCAATGACAATATGTTTAAAATAGCATTTCCCACCAATCCTCATCCTAGCATATCCGTCATTTCGCTCACATTCGCTTAAAACTCTTTTTGTCTTTTTGTTTCTGACTTCAAATGACTCACAACAGTGAATTTCATATTTCTCATCTAACAAACAAGTTTCCCAATGGTCCTTTCCGACAGACTCAGCGTACATTTCAAATAAAATAAAAAAAATATTTTTTTGAAAAAAATACTGTTTTACTTTACTTAACATAACCACCAGCTACCATAAGTCTTTGACGCCAACCCATACCAGCTAATGAAGGTTGACTTGGTTTAGTTTGGAAACTAAACTTTGGTTTTGGTTTATCTTCAGTTTTTGGTTTTTCTTCTTCTATCGGTCTTTCGTCACTTTTCGGTTCCTCTGACTTTACTTCACTTGCAGGAACAGTTGTGTCGTCAACATCTTCATAAATATCATATGCCATTGTTTTGTTTTCCTTTCAACTTTTTGTGTTGTTGTAAAGTTTAGAATATTTCGACTCTAAGTCAATGAGATGTTCTATAATGAACTGTTGGTCAGTGAAGAATACCTTCCCATCGTTGTCTCGAAAATTCCTTCCGACTTCAATATTTATTTGTGAGAGTCTGTTTCTTTTTGAGATACTGCCGTTCCATTTCTATGAAAAGTGACTTTGTAGTTAGGGTTTGTATTTCCAGACCTGGCACTTTCTATTATTGAATTTTTCTTCATCTGTAAGTTCTTTGACAGGTTTTGACAATGGTTCTGAACTTTTTGTTTGTTGGTGTCAAATCTACCGTTTCAACTTCTTCGGTCATTTCATCTCAGTAAAAATTTTAGTTTGTTTTGTTTTCAACTGGTTGTTTAGGTTTTTTAAGTCGGTCTAAAACTTCCTGAGGTATAGGAAGAACTTGACAAACACGTGGTTGTGTAACTGCTGGAAGCCGACAAATCCATCTTGAACCCATTTGTCT